GAGATGAACCCAGGTCGCGATTCGACGGCGCGCCATTGCCTACGTTTGAGGGCGGTCCTCCGAGGAGACGGAGACGCGGTCATGGTGGAGGTGGTGGCGGCGGCGGTGGCGGTGGTGGGTTCCGTGGTGATCGATACTAGAGGACCTCCTTACCTGCTATCTAGTCCTCCGTCTTTCCCTCTGCCTTGTCTGTATGGTAGGAAGCAGGAAGAAGGACAAGCGTCTGGGACGACCCCCAGAAGCTGGAAGTTAATAAGGTCCAGCACAAAAGACAGCAACGCGGCTCACATAAAGAAGTCATGTTTCTGTTAAGTCTTTCCGGGCATGTACATATAGCAAAAGTACTTCATACTTCTACTGCATCGAACGGCAAGGAACGGCACGGCATGGTTCCAGTCAGAATCTGCAGGACGGATCCCCAAACAACACAACACGAAGGAAAATTCCTACAATTGTAAAAACATGGAAATGTACGGATAGACAGACAGACAGCAGGATAAGCAGCCCACTCTGGAGTGGTCGACGCATCATTCTACTTAAGGGTGCAAATGTATCTACACCAAGAGGGAAGAAGGCTAAGCGAGGAAGGAAGAGCAGAAATAAAGAATACCGGCATAAAGAAGCATTAATGAATGAAGCATTGTTCACATCTGTCTTTTTAAGCGGCCTATACGAGGAAGATAACAACTATCTATCTTGAAATAGATTGCGTGACGAGTACTTGGGACTAGGTTTCACAAGACAAGGGGCTTTACTTGTCAATGAAACCATGTTCCCTAGGCAACCATCGCTGACACCGTCGACTGTAAACATGACCCCTGAATGTTGAAGGTTACCGAATTACGGGAAGCACTTGACTGGAATACATAGGACAATCTCTAGGAACAGATAGACAAGAACAATCAGAAGTTGCTTGAACATAATAGCACATTGGTATGGTATGAATTTACTACACATGATTCCTCTCTGCGCCATAACAGCCTAATCCCAAACTTGAAACTTGCTGATTTCACCCTTGAAGTAAAAAAGATATCATATTTGTCCCCAAACCATTAATTAACGAGAGGACGTGTCGCTCAAAATCAAAACAAAAAAGTCCCTTTTACAAAAACCCATATTTCCTTTGTGTATTTGAAACCCAGAACCCAACACCGACAACAGCACAAAAACCATTCATCAGAAAATGAATAAAAAGACGTTCTTCGTCAACGCTTAAGCAGCGTTAGCAAGAGGAGTGGGCTCAACGCCGACACGCTCCTTGCTGAGAATGTCAATCATAAACTGAGAAGGCCTGTTGTCACGGTAGACCACCGAGTTGCTCTTGAAGAGCTCGACGTTCTCCATGTACTTGTCGAAGAGGTAGGAGGAGTCCATGGGACCGCCCTTGGCCTCGGGGTGGAACTGGGTGGAGAAGATGGGACGGGTCTTGTGCATCATACCCTCGTTGGAGCCGTCGTTAAGGTTGACGAAGTACTCCTTGAAGTCAGAGGGGAGGGTGCTGATATCAACGGCATAACCGTGGTTCTGCGAGGTGATGTGGCATTGACCGGTGGTCAAGTCAAGAGCCGGGATGTTGTGGGCACGGTTACCATACTTGAGCTTGATGGTCTTGGCACCAACAGCGAGGGCAAGAAGCTGGTGACCAAGGCAGATACCCATGATAGGAACAGAGGAAGTCTCCATGAGCTGGGCAAGGTTGTAGACGGTCTCCTGGCAGTGAGTGGGGTCACCGGGGCCGTTGGAGATGAAGACACCATCGAAGTTGTCGGCAACCTTGTGGATGGGGTAGTTGTAGGGGAAGACGGTGACGGAGGCGCCACGGCTGACCAAGCTGCGAAGGATGTTCTCCTTGACACCGCAGTCGATAAGGGCGACGTGGAACTTGGCGTTGGGGTTGGTGACCACGAAGGGAGCCTTGGTGGAAACGCGCTTGACGAGGTTGATCTGGCCGGGGTCGACGAAGCCCTCATCCTCATCGGCGTCGTACTCGTCACCAATGGAGATCCTGGCGAGGGAGGAACCCTGCTCACGGAGGTAGGTGACAATCGCACGAGTGTCAACACCTGAGATGGCAGGAATACCCTCGCTAGCGCACCAATCGCCCAAGCTCTGAACAGCGGTCCAGTGGCTGTACTGAGTAGCGACATCGGAGACGACGATACCGGCGCACTGGATATGGGGGGACTCGAAGTACTTGAGGAGGTTGAACTCGTCACGCGCGTTCGAAGGGACACCGTAGTTGCCAATCAGGGGCTGGGTGAAGACGAGAATCTGACCGCGGTACGAGGGATCGGTCATCGACTCGGGGTAACCAACAAGGGAGGTGGTGAAGACGGCTTCACCAGAGATGTTGGCGTTGGCACCAAAGGCGGTACCCTGGAAAACGGGGCCATCCTGTACAAGAAGACGTCAGTTTTAGCCAAAGAGGGACTGTTGAATATGCGGGTTGTATGCGTACGCACCCTGATGGTGAAGGTGGCCTCGGCGCCGGTCGCAGCGGCAGTAGTGCGCGGCTCACGCGCGGGCATGTTCCTGCCCTTGCTGCCGGTAACGGCGGCCTTGGTCAGGTTGCGAACCTGACGGGCGGCAACACCATTGAGGGTGGAAGCCTTGGGGAGGCGAGTGGCCAGACGAGAAAACATCTTGACTTCAAGGGTGATGGGGTGTGGTAGTGGTGGTTAGGCTGCTGGGTAACGAGAGGCTCTTATGCGTTGAGGGCTCTCCACAGATGGTCTGTATCACAAAAATTATCGTCAGTATTCCTGCCCGAAAGCGGTGAGTCAACCCGGAGTCGGGGGTCGGAGGAGGGTAATGCGGACCTGAGAGATAATCCTATAAACGCAATAAGATTAGTATAGGTCAAAGACAACAAACAAACGGCAAGCAGCAGAAGTGAGAGAAAGAAGTTTCCCCGGGATGGCTGCTGCGATATCTTGGGAAAAATACGCAGTCGGGATCCGTCAAGCTAAGCCTTGAGGATCCCAGATGCCCACATCTATAAAACCAACTTGAATCGGAATGGCGCCAAGCATCCAGGTCGTTGGTTCCATGGCGGGTCATCCCAGCTACTCCGATACAGCATCGCGAGTCAGGTTGGTATGGGGTTTTTCATTCCTCATCCGGGGGAATTTCTTTGATGGGCTGGTATATGGTGCCTTGACATCTCAATGACACATGAAGGGGTCTTTCGCGTTCGCTATCGTACCTGAGAGGTGAAGACTGACGGGCGGCCGTTCATAAGGGCCGATTGTGACAAGACAAGTTCAACTGAGAGGAAAGGTTTGGACGAAAGAGTCCGAAAGTCGGGGGAACCGATTGGGTTTTGAGTGTTTTGCAGATGGGCAAAGTTGAGATGACGGAGATTTAGAGTTTGTAGAGGAGGGAAACTTGGATGCGCGCGAGATAAAAAGAGGGTGCGAAAGTGGGAGTCTGGGAGAGGCAAATAGAAAAAGGGAGGCTTCTCATTGGATCCGGCAGATTTTTCTTGAGCTTTTTATCTTTTTCTGCCGCAGTGTCAGGTCGGCGCCGTCCTGATTGGCCCATGACTCGGTGACTCCCGCTGCTAGCGAGTCCCAAAGGCCGATTTACGGGGACCGAGGGGTAATTTGATCGCGGTGTTGGGAGGACTGCGAGTTCGTTGGGACGCACAAGGTTCCACAATGCACTGTAGCCATCACGAACACCACCCCTACTAGTCCCGGAGCCTCACACCTGGAATCCTCCATCCGGCGTTCAAGATCGCAACCTCCGCCCACAACCCCAGCCACGGCATTCACAGAAAAGCGGCTCCAGCTCGGCATCTCCTGCCCGGGGGCGCTCTTAACTCTCGGAGTCGGGGTGGTCGGCCCCCGCCGAGCACGCCTCCCGCCGCTGATAAAGGTGGATCCCCCGCCCTTTTGGGTGACTCAAGTTGCGGGGCGGGACTTTAGGTTTGTAGCATCGCGATTCGCTTCGCCTTCAAGCTTTCTGATGCTCCAAAACCAAGGTTGCGCCAGAGCCGCCGTTGTTGTGGTCGGCTGCACGAAAACGGAGGTTGTACGCAGACAGAGGAAACAATCAATTGCAGCATACAATTCCGGCGACAGCACATAATACCCTACCTATCAAAATGCATCGTCATCACCTCACCTGTCAAACCACGTAAGTAGCATCCTTGCGGTGGTGGTACCTTACAGCAGCCGAGCACCAATACGTGGGGGATGACAAGCTCCCACACGTCACATTGCATCTGTGAATCATTGCGTAGCATCTGGGATTGTTGGGCATTACCGGTTTGGACGGCCGGGGATTCAGCTTCCTCGGCCGAGGATACAAAAGAAAAAGGAGGGGTTAGAAAAACTCTCAAGACACGATACAACACACGCAATAGCCTCCTCCGGTTGCACTTGACGTGACACGTAGTGCAACGGAGTTGGCGTCAATGCGACCGGCTAAAGCTTCTTTGATTAACGACTGGCGAGCTTGTCGCGCAAGCGTTGCACAACATTTTTTAATGGCAAGGGCCGTCACCCATCAGCGAACAAAACATGCATGAACCAAGCTGTGATATAAGGGCCCAGCCGTCAAGGTCCCCAGTATCAACGGCGTGACGTCCCAGCGGTTTATCAAATGAAAGGGCATATCAAGTACGTATCCGAAAAGATGCTGTAGGGATGTGAACTTTATTCTTTCTATTCCAAAACAATTTGCTCGATACGAGGTCTTGGGGGTCATCAACCGGTCGCTGTATAACCCGTTTAGAGAGCACCAAGCTCCTTGAGCTTCGAGACCAAGCCATCCACATCCTCGACCTTGCCACCACCCTGTCTCGGGGGAGGCTCTGAACAACAACAAGAGTTAGCATCGTCAAAATTCCACCAGCCTTGTACGGATCGTAGTCGTAGTCCTTACCGGTAACCTTGATGGTCTTGAGCCTCTTCTCCCCCGTGATGCCGAAGTCCGCCAACGTCTTCTTCTCGAGCGGCTTCTTCTTGGCCTTCATGATGTTGGGCAAGCTGGCGTACCTGGGCTCATTGAGGCGCAAGTCGGTCGTGATGACCATGGGCAGCTTGGCCTTGAGCGTCTCGACACCGCCATCCACCTCCCTCGTCACCTGCACGGAATCGCCGCCGGTGAACTCGACCTTGCTGGCCTGGGTGGCCTGCGCCCAGCCCAGGAGGCCAGCCAGCATCTGGCCCGTCTGGCCGGCGTCGTCGTCAATGCTCTGCTTGCCCAGGATCACTAGGTTGCTCTTGTTCTGCTCGGCGGCGGCCTTGAGCAGCTTGGCGACGCCCAGCGGCTCGAGGTCCTCGCCCTCCTTGGTTTCGACGTGGATGGCCCGGTCGGCGCCCATGGCCATGGCGGTGCGCAGAATGTCCTGCGCCTTGGTCGGGCCGGCGCTGATGACGCAGATGTCCTCGACGGGCGTCTTCTTGCCCTCGCGGATGCGCACACTCTCTTCGACCGAGAGCTCATCGAACGGGTTCATGCTGTGCTTGACACCGGCCGTCTCGACGCCCGTCTGGGCCTTGTTGACTCGCGGCTTGACCTGTAATTGAACGAAAGGGTATCCACATCAGTCGTCTGTACTCAGGTAGGTACAACAGCATACCATGTATTAATCGCGGTAGCAGGGACTCCATATCGTATCGTCTGCGCAGGCGCTGTGTGTTCTTGTTGCCATTGAACTAGGTAACTAGTAAACAGGATGGGATGGAAGAGACATACCGCATAGTCAATAACCCGCTTGACGGGCACCAATATCCGTAGGGCTGACATTGTTTTGTGATAGATCTGGGGAAAAAAGGGTGGGATGAAAGGGTGGGTGGACTCAATGGCTTGAGCTCTGGTCGTAATCACATCAGTAGGAGGGGAGAGCGACTCAGTTTCAATGACAGGACGGGGAGACGGGGTCGGAGAACGGGGAACGGGGTACGTGGGAATGGGGACGTCCAAAGCCGACGGCACACCCATGATGACGAACCGCCGTCCGTCCATGCAGCGGGTCCCACGGCCAGGAACCGACGGCCAACCTCGGTCAAGCGCACGGGAAAGTACCCTAACCCTAACCCGGACGGCAACTGTGACCCCTGAAATCCTTACGGAGGACGATGCAACATGTGATGATAGCCTCGACAATAACTACCATATTATAGGTGTTGTTCATTATTTGATTAACTTCGAGATATCGTTTTCAGGCATGGTATTACTTGCAGCCAAGGACTACCGGCTGACACTCGCCTGCCTCTCTCGGCACCTCTCGGATCTTCATGACCTAGCTGTAGATCCTTCGAGGCCGGAGTAGGTTCGGGGTAAGTTGTCCATTTATGTAAACTGTAAACACAGGATTCCAACTCTACAGGTTGCCTTCACCTTGGGCACAGCGCAGTTGACCCTTATAAGACCAAATAACATTATAGTAAACATCAACTATACGCTGTAAATAATCCATCCACGCTTTTCCATCTCGCTATTCATCCAATAACACCACAGACCAACCAACGAACCATCTACCAATCATTCCACTCATCCTTCTTAGCAGCTGCTGGAGGAGGAGCAGCGGAAGAGCCATTGTTTCCGCCCTTGCCCATAACTGCCGTCCCGATCGAGCTACCACCAGCTGACTTTCTCTGGTCCGCTACGCTGGAGAAGTCATCCCAGAACGACCTCTTGCTCTCGTCAAAGTTGCTGCTGCCACCGCCGCTAGTGGGAACTGACCTATAGCCACCGCCAGCGGAGTTGGAAGGTCCTCCCTCGACAAACCGGTTGAAGCTCTCCGACGCGGTTTTGGCGCCAGCCTGTGCTACAGTCTGTGCTGACATGGCGGCTTGCGCTGCCGCAATACGGGCTTTTGCAGCGAGCTCGGATTCGGCTATCTACAGTGGGCGGGAAAATGTTCAGATTAGCAAACATGTATCTCGGAAGTGCTTTGTAAAGAAGGTATCTTGAGCGGGGAGGGATTGGGAAGGACCAAGGTAAGAGGTACACACCTGCTTAGCCGTAGGCTGGATATATCCCTCGTTAACCGTCTTCGCCGTCTGGGTCACCGTCTTGGTGAACCATCCGAACCCTTTACTTAGCGCCGCCACGGGATCCTTCTGCAACTCATCGAGTCCCGGCAAGCTCGCGTCGCCGTCATTCTTCGGCTCCGACGACACCGTGTTTCCGAAGCCCTGATACTTTCCTCCCTGGCTAGGCGGCAAGTTGTCCGGTCTGCTGGCGTTGGCAGCCCCCAACTTGGCAAAGTACTTGTCGTCCACTTGATCGTTGTTCCCGGCTTGGGGCTTGCCGTCCTGCTGCTCGTGCCGCTCAATGGCACCCCAGCGGCCGCGCTGCTCGAACTTGAACTTGTCTCCTGTTGTGGCTTCTTCTCCCCAGGCACGTACTCCCTCCCCTCGACTTTGCAGCTCAGCCTCTCCTTGTATTCCTCACCAACCTCGCCGCTGTATCGCTCTGCGATCGTCGCATCGTCCCACGCGATCCCGCGCATCTTGGTGTCGGGGTGGTTCTCGAAGAAGGTGCGCCACTTGTCGTTGCCGCCGAGCCGCATGCGCTCGATCTCGGCCTGCTTGAAGGCGTCCATGGAAACGGAGCGCACAAACGAAATGTGCACACCCAGACCTCGATGAACGCCCGCGCACGAAAGGCAGATGAAGATGCCGAACTTGGGCGAACACCATTGCGGGCTGGGAGCGCCACAGTCGCAGCAGATGTTGTTGTTCTTCTCCTTCTGCATCGCAGCGAGCTACAAGGGGTACAAGTCAGCTTGGAGAGTCCAGTACGCTTTGCGTCAATATGTCCTTTTTGTTCCTTGAATCTTGCTGCCCATTTTACGGGGAGAGCTGATCAATCGAGTCGGGCGGCTTGGGCGGCCTGGTCGTAAAACACACCTTGGACTTCGTCTCCGGATCTATCTCCCACATCCCTTTGGTAGCCATGGTGGGCAGCTTGTACGTGTAATTGTGTGCTGTGATGCCTGGTATCGTAGTTCCTCGCTGAGACTACCGGATTAGGAACAGAGTATCGTCGAAGTGAATTGAAATAAGAAGTTCGCAGTCGTCTTTGAATTGCGCCGTGTTGCGTCGCGTGGTGTTTCGGATTGCGGTAGGGGTTGTTGTCTTGTGGACAATTAGTCGGACAGGCAATTGGCAACTTGGATGTCCTGGATGATGAAGCCGCCCACGCTATTGCAGGCACCCCCTGCCTTCAGCGGTTGGACCTGTCTCGGACGGCCACCTTCGCTTTAGTGTCACCGGGGCAGCCAGCCAGGGACGGAAACCTGACCCGAAGTGTTAAAGATGGAGGCATGTTGTTCATTCACGTTCTCGACCTCTAAGATGTCAATCTACAATTGAACTTAATATTCATTTGGGTTTTGTCAACATTCTCGGCTACAAGGGTGAAAGCCGACGAGCCGAATTATGTGACTATGTCTCTTGATCGAAACCACATTACATGCTGCGTGTTGACAAGGCAGCTCCTCCGTCCATCTTCGGCATACTACCTCCCACGCTGTCGACCATTATATGTTTTGTGCGAAGGTCCAGACCTGGCTTTTTCTCATCATTCGGCACTGCGAATCACGATCAGGGGCGTTTCAGGGGACGGCTTGTTAGACGGGGAGCTGCCCCTCTCTGCCCTGCAGGAACATCTGCAAGAGGAACTGTCCCCAGCTTTGTCACAACCACGCACAGCACGGGCAGGGGACCCAGTCACTCCTCCCAGTCTAACAAGAATATTCCCACGTTAGGGGTGACGGGTTGCCTGGTTGTTACAACCTAAAGAGCTTCAGTCGTTGACGGTCAAGCATACCAATAAAGTCGTTGTTCTAACCATGTCTATTTTCCTATTCCTAGGTAAACCGACTCGACCGACCATGCCGTGTAAGCCCAAACTGTTAAGACAGACGAATAAAGATGGTCCCTGAATACAAATGAAGAAGAGAAGTCATGAAAATATTAGATTTTTGTTGCCTGCAAAGAGCCGCAAGATAATGATGCCTGAAGTCTACCAGCGATTTGAGGCCTTTGCAAACCCCCATAACCCGTGACGCCAGACATGATCACATTATCCCACCGCCCATTCTTCCCGCTTTCATACCCACTTGCAGATCCCGCCATAAAAAGAAAATCATTCATTCCGTGCCAAAATCGTGAGGGTAAAAATGCATGCGCCCAGTAAAACATAAGACATGTGTCGGTCGAGATTAAAGTAGTGTCTGTGACCGAAATCTTAATTAACTCGTGCGCACGCTCATCTCGTCATCAAATGGTGTGTTTAAGCAGAGGCGGTAACAGCAGCGCCAGTCTGCTCGGTAGTGCCCTTGGTGGGGGCCTGGGTCTGAGCCTGGGGCTGGGCCTTAGCCTGGAGCTGGGCCTGAGCCTGGGGCTGGGCCTGAGCCTGGGGCTGGGCCTGGGGCTGGGCCTGGGGCTGGGCCTCGCCCTCGTGCTCGTGCTCGTTGGCCTCCTCGTCGGTCTTGTCAGGGCTGTCGATGGCGACCTTGACAGCAATCTCGCGGCCCTCGATCTCCTTGCCGTTCATCTCAGAGACAGCCTTCTGCTGGAGCTCCTCGGAGGCAAGGGTAACGAAGCCGAAGCCACGACCCTTGCGGGGCTCACCCCGGGCCTGAAGCTTCTTAATCATGAAGCGGGGGATGGGGCGAAGAGCAATCTTCGCGGAGGAAGGCTGGTAAGCAGCGAAAAGTTCCTTGAGCTGTGGAAAGAGTTAGCGTATCTTCAGGTATGGACACGGGTGGGCAGGAAAACTCACCTTCTCCTCAGTCAAGTCGTAGGGGAGGTTGGCAACCATGACCTTGGTCTTGGAAGGAATGCCGTCAGCTGGAGGGCCGCGCTCGCGGCGCTCACGGGGAGAGCGGCTGTGGGGCTTGCCAGACTTGTTGTCGCTGTTGTGAGTCTCGTTGGTGATGTCCTTCAGAGCCTCGGTGGCAGGGGAAGTGGAGCCCTCGGCACCCTCCTCCTTCTTCTCGCCCTGGGCAGGAATGTCAGTGTCTGTGTGCAGTTCACGGATGGACGTGTGGGTGAAACCTACGCGCTCGCCACGAGCACGGCCACCACGGCCACGACCGGCGCGACCGCGACCGCGGGTGGACTGGCGACGACGAGTGCCATCATGGCCCTCACCGTTGGCACCCTCGGTCTTCTCGTTAGACTCAGGCTTGCGAGCGAGCTGGACGGAGACCTTGCGCTCGAGGATCTCCTTGCCGGAGAGCTCAGCGATGGCACGCTCAGCCTCGCTGGGGGTGGAGAGGTCGACGAAGGCATAGCCGACGGGGCGGTCGGTGCGAGGGTTCTTGGGAATGGAAACAGACTCACTACACGCAGCGAGAGCCGGTTAGTAACGGACAAGCGCACGTAACACAAGACCAAGAAAACCGAATGCCAACCCCACCACACGGCCACGCCAGCGGCCCACTCTCACAGCCGGATGAGTGAGGTGGAGGACGTGACGTCAAAGGAGCAAAGGGGGCTAAACCGGGATAACATGATGTGAACGGGAAGGGGAATGAAGCTTGTGGCGTGCAACTGCTTCCAGCCGCGCGAATACAACCCGAACAAGGCGGGGAAGCGGGATGCAGGGAAACAATGCAAAGGCGGTGAGAGAACAAGGGCAGGCAACGACAAAGGGAAAAGGGTAGGCGGGACGAGCCAAACTTACACAAGGTAGCCCTTGAAGAAGTCTTTCAACTCCCCCTCCGTTGTCGCATAGGCAAGGTTGCCGATGTAGAGGCGGCGACCTTCGGCGGCGCTGGCAAGGACAGCATCGTTGGCGGCGGCGGAGGGCTTCTCGTCAGCGGACTTGTTGCCAGTCAGAGAGGTGTTGGCCAGAGCGTTGGAAACGTCGTTGACGGCGGCGGCAGCAGCGTCAGTGATTTTCTCCACGACAGCAGACATGGTGATTGATTGTGATGTCGAAAGTTGACTTGGATGGAGTAGGTGATCCACAGGAAGTGACGTGAGCGTTGGACTCGTTCGGACAGGGAGGTGAACGCCTGAGGTGTTGTAAGGACGTTGACGGACGAGAAAGGTTGAACTCTGGGTTTGAGGGGGAGTCAGAAGGGTAGCTTGGTGCCCTAGATAGCTTGAAGGGGGATTTGGTTGAAGGTGGTTGGAGCGGACTTCAGATTGCTTGAATGGTTGACGGGAAGAAGAGAGGAAGAGAAAGGAAAAGATCAGGTGTTGGTTGAGTCGGCGCGCTCCAAATTTCAAATATTTTTTGCTACCGTTCGGGGAATTAAGCGAAAGGCAGGCGTGGCGGCTTTGGCCCAGGGTACGTTCGGTACCGTCCCCATAGTACCTGCCCTACACCTGGGCTCAAGGCAAGTTCCAGCTTCCAGTTGTCACTTTACGCTTCCAAATCGCTGAAGTGGACAACGGACGAGTGCCAACTGGGGTAGGCAGCATGTACCAGCCTGGCCGTTGTGGGCAAGGTGCAGGCAGTGCACTTGCCCCCAGGTTTTTTGGACAAGCTAAACTCCAGGCTTCCAGCCTCTGTCCGTCCGCTCGGGCATCGATTTTAAGGTACGACCCCTCCGCTGCACCTTCTTCACTGAACCGAACCGAACACAGTTACAACTGCCCGGATTGAGGTGCAGCAACCGGACCTCAACAAGCGTCAAGCGCTGCCCGCTGAAAATGAGGGGAGGCGCGGACATGAACCGCTGAACATTCGTAAGTGGCAACGACTCAGGGATACGCCATCGTCGTCGTAGCTCTTGCCAAACGCCAAGGTCCGTCCGCTTGTCCTACCATTTGGGATCCACAGAAGGGGAAAGGAGCGTGGAGAAGCTCAAGCAACAGGGATGCACAGTGCGGCGCAGTTTATGCGATGAGGCCAGGTGTTGCATCACGATGGGAGGGGTTGCGGGATTGAACGAGTCTATCAAGTAGAACTTACCTACACTTTGTGAGAAAGACCAATATAATGTCCTATCTTCAAGGTGTTGTGTCTTTGGCTTGGCTTAACGGACTCGGAGTCTTTGGTGAGGCTTTGTGCTACTGTTGTTCCGTCGTTGACGATAACGGCCGCGTTCCGAGTCGATCTTTAGTCGATCTTTCCGGGGAAGGCGTAGAGGGTACTGGGCTGCTGCGAGAGGAAGAACGAACGAGCTTGGTTCAGGAAACAATTGGAATCATGCCTTCCTTTATAGCTGAGCAACTTCCTTCCTTCCCCTTCACTGGTTTCTGATGGGATGATATGCATGTTACCATAGCAAGGCCATCTGCAGCGGATCGTTGCTGGGGAAAGGGAAGATGGCTTTCCATCTCAAGCGGCATGTGTCATTCACGAGCAGCCTGCTAAAGCCTACGGCCATTACAGGTATCCCTTCAAGTTTTGCGGAAGAAGTGACTCGCTCTCATGGTACGTTAAAGGATGAAATCGGGCGGGCGTTTGAGAATCCGACCGACTACCTATGTTGAACTAGATCGAAAATATATCTACGATCGACATGGCAAAAAGTGGCATATATTTCACCTGGCGAGGCTGGGAGATGGCCTTGCTCCTGGTTAACAAGACGGAAGCCAGGACACAGACTCCTCGAACGGGTAATGGGGATATCCCCGCGATCAGTTATATCGTAGTGACATATCGGGTCACAGTTCCCGGTCGGCTGCAGAACATACTGTATCTTTTCAGACTCTTTCACTCAACCTGCTTCTGGGTCATGCCCGAATATGAGTTGAATCCGATGTCAACTGAGGTCTTTCGCATGTTGAGGTGGTTGCTGGTGGTGATGTATAAAATACTCTGGTCCCGTATCACCGTGTGCGACACTGTGTCGGTTTCCACTGCAGTCCCATTAACTTTCAACTCCACCTGAGCTTCTTGCCTTTCAGGGATTGAAGCTGTTGTAGTCCAGCGAGAGCAGACGGGCGGCACTCAGCCGCACAAAGAAGGCACGCGCTTGCATTCTCATTGGCCCCTTGAGATAGGAGTGAGCCAGAAGGAAGTGACATGTGCGATCCAATCGATAGGTTTTTGGCGACGGTGAGGTTTGAAACGGCCTCAAGATGGCTCGCCCGGATTATGACACGCTTCGGCGTCGAAAGTGGCTCCCACTTTTGGTTGCGGAATGACGTGGATGTGGCATCCGCTTTCTAGACGCTTCCAGGTTCCCAGCGGATGCCATGTACTCCACTGTCAAAAACGGGTTGGAGCCGTGCCCCCAAAAACAACATCATCACGATCCTCCACCATGGAGGGGGTCGAGGGGTCTTTGTGAGCAGGGGAAAAAGGGGGTTGTCTTGGCCACTGCCTACAGCACCTATACCAGCCCACGGTGTCGGGTTATGCTGATATTTCCCCTCATCCGCACAGGTCTGCTGGTCCGGGGTTCAATCATGCGTTTCACGGCTTGTGTGCGGAGCGCTGGCGGCTCCAAGTCGTCCCCAGGCTGTCTAGGCTTTCGCTTGCAAAAGGCAGGACCCCTAAATCACGATGCAAGACAAATGGGAGATGAGCACCGTTCGAGAGGGAGCTGTACGGTTCACCGCTCATGCGTCGAGGGCACTGAATGTTACGTTAACTAGAGGTAGGCCCTCCAAAACGCCGTGGATGGGGATGGCAAAACAAGCATCACGAATAAGTGCTAGAGGTAGGTGAAAGGCCTACTGTGTTAGCTAGGCCTTGGTCGTTCCTGTGGCTTTCAACTGGATAGTGGGAGGTGTTTACATGCTGGAGTAGGCTATAAAATTCCATGCCAGAACCAATGCATTTCATCAGAGCCGAATCAACCGGCAGAAGTGTCACTTGGACGAAATCCCGTTCTTCACGGTGTACTATCGGGGCCAGCGAGGTGTCCTTCGCCCCTTCCCCGCGCCGCTCCGGGTTTTGGTGGGGCCGAGATCGGGACGCCACCTGTGGGCTCCGATAGCCTACACTCCTACAGTGACCTTCCCGCCCCACTATCAACTACAGCTGCTCTTGCCTATCGACCCAGACGTCCAGTGCGTTCGCGAGAAATTGCCAATCCACGCAAAGAGGACACTTTTACAGTCTTTATCATATCTGAGGACGCTCCAGCTTCACGGGTGACGTACCCAGTAATCCGACTCGAGGCTCAGTTGCGCACGGGTGGTTCAAGACAGCAAGACAGTCCGCGGGCCCGTGCAGTGGAGAGAGAGCTCAGACCTCGACTGTCCTTTTATCGGCCTTTTTTTTTCTTGAGAGCTCCCGTCGTTGCCCGTCTGTACCCGTGCTTTTCCATCATCTCCAATACCTCTTAACATCCGAATCTCGCCCAAGGATTGACTGGATTTCTCCATCGATTAAGTACCATTGGCACAATTTTCTGGTTAATCGAGGCTGGTTACCGCAGATCCATACCAGGAACTTGACGTATTTGGTGTTGGCGGAGCCTAACTGCATCCTCCACGAGGAACGGACTCAACCTGTCCCCTTCAGATAACCCTACGATAACCCGAAAATCAGAAGTGTTCTTGTGAACCTTGCGGCTTTGTCAAAGAGCAGCTGTTTCAGTCATATCTGGACAGGTGGTGCCACGGACTCTTTCCCCAAGTACCAACACCAGGCGGTTGGCTGCGAGGTACAACTGTTAGCACTCAAACAAGTTCACTTCAACTACACAACCTAGCCAGCACTCCTATTGGAAAGAAAGTCATGGGGGAATCCGTGTTGGCAGCTTCGGTTGCCAAGCCGGCGGCCATAGAGGGAAGAAACATCATCATTCTCTATGGCTCTGAAACAGGAAATGGAGAGGAAATCGCCATGGAGTTGGCCAAAATGACTGAAAGGTTACACTTCAATACTATTGTTGATGAGATGGACGGCTTCAAGTTGGTGCGTTCTGCCATATGTGCTTATTTATGTATGTTATATGCTGATTTTCTTCTTGTCAGACGGACTTACTGCGTTACTCTTTGGCCATCATTGTCACCTCTACCACTGGTCAAGGTGATATGCCAAAGAACACGACGACGTTCTGGAAAAACCTTAGACGTACAAAGCTCAACAATACCAACTGTCTTGCGCCTGTCAAGTTCTCCATTTTTGGACTTGGTGATAGCTCATATCCAAAGTAAGATTATCTTTGTTATCTCCGGACACTCCAGTCGGAAGAGCACTAGTCATAACCTTGAACCAGCATTGTCTTGGAAACTGACTTCTCAAAGGTTCAACTGGGCAGCGCGGAAGCTTCGTGTACGCCTATTGCAGCTTGGTGCTTCCGAATTCTTCAGACCAGGCGAAGCTGATGAGAGGCATGAAAATGGGTGAGTGAAATCCTATGTTATTCTCATGGTCTGCTATTCAAGCGGTCGTTCTTTTTGGCTAACATAACTCTGACCACAGACTCGACAGCATCTATCTACCCTGGTACCAGGAGTTAAGAGAGTCTTTGTTATCTCAGTTTCCTCTTCCAGAGGGCATAGAGCCCATACCAGACGACGCTCAACTTCCACCAAAGTACAACATCCGACTTGTGCCATCAACGGGCTCTGCTAAGGACAGTATGACAAATGGCGACGGCCATCTCTCTCAGGTCGAGGATGGTGAACAGTTAGCGGCAAGATTTGAGCGGATGAGTACCGACTCTCAAGACAGTGCGATTCCAGAACAAAAGAAAGGAACTGGTGTCCCAGACTTTCCGCCAGCCAAATTACTGCCAGTACCAGGTTCATTTACAGCGCAAGTTGTTTGCGATACGAGGGTGACTCCAGAAGACCATTGGCAAGACGTCAGACACATCGAACTCAAAGTTCGCAGTCCAGGACGCAACGGAGCCATATCCTTTGCCGGCCAAACACTCTTAATCTACCCCAAGAACTATCCCGAGGACGTACAGAAGTTAATCGATTTGATGGGATGGGGTGAGGTCGCCGAGCAGAGGATAGAAATTGACTGGGTCAAGGGCACCCGGCCAAGAGACTACCATTTGCCAGCGGGCGCAACAGTCCGCGACGTCCTAACGCACAACTTCGACATCACCGCCGTCCCCAAACGAACATTCCTTGAGTTCATGGCCTACCACACCACCAACCCTCTCGAGAAGGAACGTCTCCAAGAGCTTACTGCCCGAGGCGACAGCGACGAATTCTACGACTACACCTCTCGCCCGCGCCGAACCATCCTCGAGGTCCTTGAGGATTTCCCCGGCGTCAAAATCCCCTACACCCGGCTCCTCGAATTCCCCATTATCCGCCCGCGCGAGTTCAGTCTCTGCAACGGTGGCGATCCCACCATCAAAGAGGGCCAAGACCAAGACCAAGTGATCTCCAACTCCAACAACGAAACCTCAAACGTTTACAAATTCGAAATCCTCGCCGCCCTCGTGCACTACCGCACCATCATCCGCAAACCTCGCCAAGGCCTCTGCTCGCGCTACCTCCGTCATCTGCCCGTCGGCACCACCATTCAAATCGGCATCAAGCCGCCCAGCAGTCCCTTTGCCATGAACGACCCGGCCTTTTACTCGCGCCCGCTCATCGGTGTCGCGACGGGGACGGGCATTGCTCCGTTCCGTGCTCTGCTTCAGGACCGTTGTCTTGTCAAGGATCAGACCCAGATAGGCAAAACCCTCCTCTTCTTCGGCTGCCGCAACTCTTCTGCCGATTACCACTTCAGCCAGGAATGGCCGACCGTTCCGAACCTGGTGGTGCACCCTGCTTTCTCCCGCGATACCACCTCCACTTCCACTTCCGACTCATCATCATCCTCCGTCGAGGAGCAAAAACTTGCCCTCCAAAGAGCAGCAGGTATCTACGACGCAGGCAAGAACTACGTGCAGCACCAGATCCGGCAGCACGCTGCTGAGGTGGGGGAACTATTGAGGCAGAACCCCATCATTGTTGTGTGTGGAAATAGTGGACGGATGCCCAAGAGCGTGAGGGAGGCGTTGGAGGATGCGGCGGTGACGAGTGGGGTGGTGAGTGACAAGGAGGAGGCGAAGGGGTGGTTTGATCGAAGGGAGAATTGTGTTTATTGGCAGGAGACTTGGTAGTTGGTGATTGGGTTGCTGAGGTGCTGAGGGTTTGGTGTTGGATGGGGTGGGATGGAAAGTAAAAGGAGGCAGAAGAGGAGAAAGGATGCGTAAGGACAAGAAAAGGAGTGAGTTAAAAGGGGTGACTAGAATGATAAGAGTTGAGTATAGAGAAGCATTGGACAAGTTGAGGAAAAAAGTCTAGCCTGAGTTATCATGTCAATTGCCCGCAGTCATAAGAATGATTTACCATCATCACCATCACAATACCAGTCAAGTTATGGACTAACTGCCATAATTTGTTCAGGGTTCGCATCGCATGTAGGTAAGGTACGTATATTAACTGATTTATTTCCGATACGCTGTATCCTCTCCTGCTACTCCTTTCTCATCTTCACTTCTATGGTATGTCTCCCCCTTCTTGCCAGTCGTCGAAACGATACAGTTCCCAAGAACTCACCGCAAATCTGATCTGATGTGCATATCTCATCACCACATCAAGGTTCTAGACAACCTCCTCCTCCGCCTCCTCCTCCTCCTCCTCCTCCTTTTCAGCCGCGAGCCTTTCCCAATACCAAGAAAAGCACGATAATCCCGCCAAAGTAACGCCGATTTTCTTTCTTTCTCACTCGTAGACCAAAAAAACGGAACCAAAAAACACTGTACATCATCGCAAAAGCGTTTGATGCCTACATACGCAGCGCACATGTATAACCACTCTGTCTCCCTGTCCAGTCCAAGTATCCAGTATTCCGTAATCCAAAAAGGAAAAAAAAAACGCCGCCCGTGTCCGGCTTGCATATATAAACGATGGATGCTACAGTAAAACCAATTCGATGGCAAAAATGTCGGTTGTATGAGTTGTTACAAAGGATGTGATGTGACAAGTACTGATAGTACTGATTCTCCTATAGCGTGGGTCGATTTCATCGAGTCTCTGCCTCCCAGCTGTACCGCTGCGCAGCCACCTGTGGGACATGAACTAACTCCGACCCGGCCTCGATTCGTTCCATGCTTCGGGGGCTGCGGGGGAAGTCTTCGTCGCGCGGGTTGTTGGTGTCATCTTCTTCGCGTTGTTCTCGTCGTTCTCGTCGTCGTCGTCGTCGCTGTTGTCGTTGATGCGACTGTTGCTGATGTGATGTTGGTGATGTAGGTGACGTCGGTGATGTCGGTGATACCGGCGATGCTTGCTGCATCTGTTGAGCCGTCGCACTCCGCTGCGCAGCCAACTGCACATGCCTCAGCTGGCTTTCCTCCTCCACGGTAAAGTTGGAACCCAAGGTCTCATTAGAACCGCGGGTTACCGAATCTGAACGTCTCAGAGGACCACTCTCGACATCGAACTTTTCTTCAGGTCGTTCTGCTATATGTTGTCGGTCGTCGGGCGTAATGATCCGAGGTACAGCTGGCCGATGATTGGGATGTGAATGCCGATGGTGTGGAACGGGAAGCTGTATGTTTGCTGGCATGGGTCCTAGGCAAACTATCTGCGTGTGGATGGGATCGATGGGCGTGCGCTGTATTGCTGCGCTGCCGGGTAGGGGGACCGGTCCTCCGGTTGGTGAGGTAGGTGAACCTGACCCTCCGTGTGTGTCCGTTGACGGGGTTACTGGTGAAGGGAGGTAGGCGTGAGGCGAGTGTGGTGACTGTAACGAGACTGGCGAGTGGCCGGAGGCTGGGTCAGCAAAACCTGTCGCTGTTGGGAAATGGTGTAGCCGGATGGGAGAGGCTACGGTCATGGGTGATGGCAGATCGAAGACTCTACCCGCCGTCCAGTCTGCGTTTGGCGACAAGGGCGATGGCAGCGAGTTGGGGAGGGAATCTGTGTTGGCGTATGTGGGCGACGATCCAGGAGATGGCTCCTCGCTAGGACCGTAGTGAACAGGTAATACATCCTGTGATGACTTCTCGTTGGGATATCCAGCAGCACGCTCGTTGTGTTCCGTGGTCGCTGTGTAGATTGGTACCGGCCCCTGAAGTTGTCGTTCGAGCTTTCGCCGCGCCGCCTCATATTCGCTCATTTCCCGACTACCATCCAGCCCAAGGTTTGCGTCATCATTTCCATAGTCGTTGTTGTCCAACTCGATCGGTTCAGGCGGAACTGGCAGTTCGAAGATCTGATGCTGAGCGTCGGCACCGACTTCAACAGGTTCGGTCATGGTCGCCTCCGTCCCTTGCGACGTCGATTGCCTCCTTGACCTTCTCCTTCTAGCAAACATCGACAGCATCCGGCTGACCGGGCTCTGTGCCGGTTCATCATGTACCGGGACAACCTTCTCCGTACTTTGATCCAGATTTTTACGGGCCTGGTTTTTCTTCGCCTTCGATTTTCGCCGGCAACACAGGAACGATATCAGACCAATGACACTGCCCGCCGCAAAAGCGCAAACCACGATCGCCACCGTTTGCCCCACGCCCAACGGCTTTTTGCTCGACTTCTTAACCGGGGGACCCTCGGGATAAGGACTATTCGGAGGCCTTTCGATGACCTGTAAGGAGTGATTGGTGGCTGAGTTGTCGGGGAACAGCGCTTGATGGATAGAGAATGAGGCCTTGTCGTACTTGGAAATGATGTATGCTTCCTGCATGAATACACGGCCGATTATATACTGATTGTTGTTTGTTTCCTTTGTAGATCGTGTCAAGGGGAAATACGGTATGCTCGACTCGTTGAATTTGATGACGTTCTTCCAAGGATAACGCAGGACCTGGGCAAATGCGGCGGGAGGGATGGTGATATTGACAACTCCTGGCATGTTGAGTGGGTAGCCGAAGTCATCACTGTTATCGTAGCTGGAGACGGTAAAAGTGAACGACAACTCTTCGGTGGACTTCATGTGCCTGTACTTGAGGTATTGATCCCCTCCCTTCGCGAACACATAAACGCCAAGGTCCTCCCTCCAAGCCAGATCAAGAGCAGAAGCAATACGTTCGCAGATGTCGGTTGGGAGCCATAGAAACGGCGTTGACGAGTCGATGAGAGCGGTAATCGAATCATTCATGGCGACGAAAGTCTGAGAAGTCGATGTCCAATTCCCAGGTGCCTTGTCCAACGATGGAACCTGAGCACCAAGGCCTCGAAGTCGTACCGTGGGCGCTCGGTCATTCGGATCCGCGGCCGAGTTTCCTATGTAGAGCCTAAATGTCGTATCATGTGGCACGAACCTCAGTGCATCATAGCCCCCAAGAGTCAACGAGGCATGTGTACCGTTTGCTAAATGGAATCAGTTCTGATTGTTCAGTGAGTTTTACCACAGGGGTAAGAAATCAATAGGAACAGATGCTTACTAGTCGTGTCGCGGTAATATGCCCCCGCCGTGTACCCGTAGCTATGACTGGGAATCATGCCATCCACTTCGGCGAGTTGGGTGATGAGAGGGTTGGTAACGTTATGGTTTATACTGCCTTGAGTCACGCCCAGTCCGATGTAGCCTTGATAGTATTCGGTGGCATTGACAGCGGCAATCAGTACACCATCAATGGACGTGGCGGTGCTGGCCTTTGTATCGACGAAGGCGACGGTGTCCAAGCCATAGTCGCCATTCCTCTGAACACCGACGTGGTTCATACCCAGCTCGTAAGCACCCGCCCCTAAGGTGTGCCATGTCTCCGAGATGTGATAGTCAAAGACGCCACCACGAGCGTCCACACATGGCTGGTCTTTTTTGTTGTGAATTAGCTCTGGGACCGCAGTGTATGAGTGTAGATATAACTTACTACCTGGGCCTGATGCGCAACCGCCGGCCCCAACAACCCACGTCTCGGACAAGGCCGTGGCAGGTGTGAGATAGACGATCTGGGCGGGAGATCCCACGGCAAACATGAAGTTTGACCAAGTGCCGTCGATGCCAAACCATTCCCCAGACGGTTGGACCCATAATGGTTCCGGTGTTGTGGGTGCTGTCGACGTTGCGCGGACAAGTGAAGGCGCCGATGACAAGAGCAGGAAGCCAACATGGAAGACGGCGAAAGAGAGGTAGGGTAACCGCATCTTCGCAAAAGCGTGGCCCGAGTTGGTGTTGCCGTGGACGGACAGACAGCCAGACTGGGGACGCAAGCGTCCAGGGCTATGTCCGTCACCAGAAGAACCGGCACGACCAGCAGCAAGAGGGGAGCGAAGGTCGAAGTCGAGGTCCTAAGACATGGAGAAAGACGACCTGGTATTCCATGAGCTGCTATCAAGCTCCGGTCCGACCCACTATTGTGCCTTACACAGATTCAAGAAGCCGTGACACTTGGTCGATGAGTAAAAGGCTGCCGTGCTATGAGAGGTAGGTATGTTCTGTTGCCGGCTGAGATTTGGCCTTGTTTCTAATGTTCCAGGACAAAAACCATTCGTTCCACTGGCCCGGTGAGCTTGAAGGCGCTCGTTCGTCCGCCTTCCAAGTGCGAGCGGGTTGACTGGTAGCCGGACTAAAACCCGGACTGGACTGGACCTGGACCGGGACCTGGACCAAGAAGAACGAACACACCCAAAAGCGAGGGACCAATGATGTTGAAGAGATGTGCGGGCGAATCGACGAACGGTGGCCTAGGTGGCACCAAAAGACGGGACAGGGGAAAATAATCTCGATCCCAGGGTAAGTAGCGAGCTGTGTGTGTAATGATGGGACGACGGCAAAATCCAGCCGCTCGGATCGGAAGCGACTGCTTGGGATAAGAGAGAGAGAGAAAGAGAAGGGAAGCCAAGTTGAGCTTCCGGATGGAGAAGAGGGCATGATGATAGATTAGATTTGTCGGGCTACTAGGTAGGTGGTGTAAGCTGTAAGGCAATGTACAGGTTAGGGTAATTACAAGCCTGTCGTGGCACTCTGTTGTACTTGAATACAGGTTGTACAAGACCGTACCTGGTGATGGAGGTACCTCTAGTGGAATGGGCATGCCTCCCTTGAGACCGAGGAGATGGCCCCTCTGAATTTCTCTGTGCAGACGGGTACCTCTAGTGTAGGGAAAAAGATGGTCCTACGTTGTACGGCGGCGGGACACTTGTCTGATTCGGAATGATCAGCGCTACCAACGCTTGACAACTGGACGACGCGGGTCCTGACAGCACTGAGGTCTCGTCGGTTGGGCGGGCTCGAGGCGGGCTGGAAAGAAGAGGAGAGACAAGTCAGAGACACTGGGCCGTCCGTCACCTCACCGTGGTCAGCAGATAGGCAGAGCAGATTGGCAAGACAGTTGGATCCAACCCACGGGAGTTGGTGTTTCTTGTTCTCGTTCTGGCATTCCTTTAACTCCTTGGCAAGGTTGCCGTCCACGGTTGTTGGAAGTTAGGAAAAGTGAGTCGGGGAAGTGTACGGTACGGTAACACACAGGAAATCAACAGCAAAGGAGGCTAGAGAGACCAGAGCATGTATGTAATGACCGGGGATCCAGACGTGTCTCCCCCTCCCCGTCTTGGTTGGTGTCGGAGATAGCCCAAGATGCCGTAGCGTAACAAGTGGATATTCCCACTTGGAGTGTCCATGGTTCGCATGTGCTCACCCATAAGGTCGCCAATAGAGGATGAATGTTGGGAACCAAAGTGAAGCGAAACATATTTGAATGATACGGTTTATCCCATGAGCATGTTATATGCCTCTATTCCCGCGTGTTGACAGTTCTGAGATGTCCATGCGCATGTGCATGTCGGTAGAAGGGGTTGAAGGTTGGAGGTTGAGTTAACAATGCTAGGTGCTGTTAGTGCAGATGCGCAGCTACGGTAAGGCAGTGGTGGGTCTAAGCCTTAGGTCTTAACAGCAACTTACCTGAAGTAAAGAGCTTAGTAACCAATAACAGGGCCCCTCTGATGCTCATATCTTCCTTTCCAAGCCGCAATCATTTCAACGTTTGTTTTTTTGTCGTTTTCTTTCCTTCTTCACACGGCCACACATGTAGTGGTAGTTACGTCTCCCCTAAATTCATTTCCAATGACTTGAACCCCGACCTCCCGTCGTCCCTCATCACCAGGGACTCCATGAACCGCCTCCAAGCCATCACCACACCGCGATCTCACAATGCAACCTAACCTCCATGCCTCGACAATCACAATCTTATCAAACGTCAACACCATCCTCATGGGATTCGTGGGAATTGCACCCGTCGCTGGCATGCAAGGCCCGTAGGGCAATGGCACAAGGAAGGAGCGGCAAGCGTGCCGACTCCGACACCCGATGGCGATGGAATGGGTGAGGCCACATTCCCGTCGCCAGTCACCTCACCCAACCGCACTGGAATTACCATGTCTTGAAGCGTGTATGACTATCATAACGAGGCGGCAAGGCTTGTGAGGGTTCCAGAGAAAGACACCACTAGACTGAGCAGGCTCACGTGGAGTTCCACGTCCCGAACGCTAATCCCGAGTTCGCATTTTGATATATTGCCATGATCAGCAACGGGGACACTGGCAACTTTGGGCAGCCTCTTTTTTTTTTCATAGGCGGTCCCTATACTTCTATACTATGGGCATGGGCTGGTGAACGTTGGGCCATCCGAGTACCTGACTTCACAATCGAGTGGTCGCTGGACCTCTCATATAAACCTCAACCATGTGTGCCTCCGCGTTGCCATTGCAGGCCTAGCAAAAGTTACCTACATGCCGTCAAAGGCTGGTACTCTGGGGACTTTCAACATGCCACCCGCCCAATCGTTGTTTGTCACTCAATCTCACCCAGGTGCGAGTAGGGTGCCGTTTAATACACCTGCGACATGGCATAAGCATCAAGGTGCTACCGTGCCTTCGACATCGAACCGAAAACGAGCCTAGATTACCATGAGCCATGCCCTCACGGCTCCATTGATACCACCCGGTTGGAATGCAAGTGCCGGTGAGACGGGCTCATGTTCTGGGGTAAAACGAGGGGGGCAGTTGGGTTGGGGAGTTGGGGGTTCGCTCTTGGCTTCACTGACCAGGGGTTCAAAAGATGTTACAGCACCTATTTCCCCGACCTCAACCAAAATCTCGCGCTCTGGTCTGTGGGCTAACATGTTGGGCCGACGGCTTAGAGGTCGCTATGGATGAAGTCAAACCGAGCCGGACCAACCAGGACGAGGGGCAACAGAGACACGGCACAATTAATATATCCAACCGTCGACAGCGTGAGATCACTCTGGATAAATGTGCGCCTGTCATTTTGCCGAAAACTCCCATCAAGTAGCCATCCGTACCAGCCCGTGTGGTCTTCCACATGACGGATCTCTCTTGCTGGTCCTGCCATACCAACAGCACCTTACCTCTACATCCATCCCGTCTCTGTTATCATCTGTCAGACGCGAGATTGAGGGTCTTTGACCACCTACTCGCGTCTATCATGTCTATCATGTGTAACGCGATTGTCAATCGACGACTTCTTGTTGGTGGCAGTTGGTCCCTAGGTATATACGAACACCCACGACGTCAGGGCATTCCAACGGCGATCACGAACATATGTTCACCTTATAGCCACAACATCTCAACATCAAGAATCGCCAAAGGGTTGCCCGGTCCTCGCTTGCTGAGTCTTTTTATTGGCCGCGGAACGGGTTTCATGGCTGCAATCGGGAGCGATCCATGCATTCTTGTACGCAATGTCACCGTGGGTTCAGCTCTCGGCATCTTGCTTCGCTCTAGAGCTCGGCCGCCACTACTCGTCCAACTACCTACTGTAGTGAACGTCCAAATCTCTACGACGACACATCCTGGGGAAAACAAGCATGCAATGAAAACCGCCAAACAGGTTGATATGCGTTCTTCTTGAACTGTTCTGAAACCTCAAGGATGACAGGATACCGATGGTATGGAATCATTGACGCTAGCCCGCCAAAAGTTGCCGACAGAACGGGTCAGCACATGCGCCATCGTCGTTATCAAGCCAGCACATATTACCGTGTAGGTGTTGATATGCACTGCCGTGTGTATGTGAGTACTCAATATGGGCGTCTCGGCTTGTCGGCAGCTTGTTCAAACGTTCATGGTGAGAGTAACCAATTGCCGAAGAAGATGGCGTTGTTGTTGGATATGGCCTCCCCTCCTCTCCGCGCCCATTCGCACCCACCATACACTCGTGGCGTAACTTGTCCTCAGCCTGCTGAAATCAAGTCTTTTGTCGTCGAGGTACTGGATCGTCGATACATCCTGATTCTGCGTTGGCATGAACACGTCGAATTGCACTGTCGAGATGCTCAAACAGCCCGCCTCTCCAATCGTATCGGCCGCCACCATGAGGACATCTGTTCCATGGGGTCCTTCTACCAAAAGGGTAGATGCCGCCAAAACGAAGCCAAGAGGACCAATATCGAAGAGCACAAAAAACGAAAAGAAAACAAAAACACGGCGCTTCCAAAGCCTAGAAGTATACTCGACACAACAGACTTGAGTTCAGGAAAGGGACAAAAAGAAGGCGTGTTGCGTGCTGCTGACAGAAAGATACAGCTAGTGGGATCACACCCTTCTGCTGTAACCATCTGAGCCAGGAACGTCTCGGGAGAAGATTCCATGATTCTTGCGGCAAAGCTGCTGACCTGCCGGGTGCCTGTGCCGCGTAATTCCAGGCGAGTCGCCGTCATGTATTTACGCCATGGTGCCATCCACCAAGAGATCGCATGCATATCTCGAGCTCTGGCCTTTCCTTATTCCAGCCACATCCTCCATCTCGTCGCATCCTGTCCGAGGAGTCTCACCATTTCCATGGTAACACAAAAGTCTTGGTTCTCGCCTCCTAGCAGAACCAGCGAAATCTTGTCAACGTATCGTGCTGTAGGTAGGTCTTCTTACTTTACCTACGAAATGTCATCGAGGAGCAGGGTGTCTGATGTCGGTGTGGTGTTGCTACCCGTCATATCACAACGGCTTCATCAAATGCAATGCAGAGTTCTCCCTTTTTACCAACGCAAGGGAGCTTCCATTCTGATGGACTTCAGTGTGCACTTTGCCCAGCATTCGGGTGAGTCCTTCAGAAACAGAATGTTTAGGGGTTTTCAATCTGACCAATGGACGACCGTTCCATACTTCTGTCTCTATCAGTGTCACCCTGGTGGTCGGTAGCCAAGGACTAGGGGACCCTAGCTGTTCTCGACGAATCCTCACGTCGTCTCTTTCCGTTGATCCCTCCCCCCCGATCATCCTACAACTGCAGTCCTGCACGGCGTCCGGTGCTGCGTGGCTCTTTCAGCCCTTCTGGGCATCAGACACCGTGCTTTTCCACTGCACCTTGTTACTCCCCATCTCCTCCTCTCGGAAACTTCTGTTTCTTCCGGTGTTGTTGTTGCCCGGCGGCATTATTCCAACCAAAACGTACAATAACAGTGCGGCCTGCAACGTTAAGAGTCCCAACACCTAATAGTGTGCAAGAAGCCCCTGGTTCTTTTGACACTATTCACCCAACCACGCGGAACCGGAGGAAGGAGCGAAAGGTCACGAAGAGGCGGAGAGAGAGACGGAGAGGCGCAATCGGGTTTGGACTGAGTGAGTGAGTGAGTGAGTGAGTGAGTGAGACCGGGTTCTCTGCCCGTGGCCTGCTGCCCGCACCCGTCTGGTCGACGCAGTGTAATAACCACTTGCTTTTCCGCTCGAATTACACAAGACGCTAGATATTATCCGCCTTTGCAAGCAAGAAACTGGGATTCCCGTCTCGGACTATCCATCCACTAGTCTCTCTTGTCCTTTTTCTTTTGCGTCTTGCGTCTTGTGTCATTGAAGAGTTGCTACCGACAGTTCCCCCGTTGTAACTCTTATCCCCCCCCCCCTTCTGACGCCATGGCCGCTGCACCTTGATGACACAGGAATTTTGATGGTTCTGTTGACTCGGATGCCGAGGAACAGCGGATAATATTTTTTTATTGATTGTTCTGTTTTGTTGAGTACGACAGTATGGTTGTGGGCAGGCATAGACTGCTCTCGCTCGCAGTACTTTCAGGTCTTGGTGTAGACGCTGTTCGTGGAGGTAAGCATTCATGTGTTCTTTAAGGCCACAAAACTCGTAATATCTCTAACATAAGCTTCAGTCTATCATTTACCTCGAAATGTCACCGTCAGCAGCATTCCAGAGGCACATAGCCAGAGCGCCGCAGTCGACCCAGATGAAGCACACATCTCACCATCCTCAGTTGGGAGTGCAGTTGAGGTGACCAATGCTTCTCAAACCTCTACCGTGCTTGAGACACAGGCGGTGGGAGTTGGAGCTGTCAACTCTTTGCAACCCACCGCGCAAGATACCTCGGAACCAGCGATCTCAGAACCATCAATAGCGACAGTACCAGCAAGTCTCGATCCATCTTCAGTAGTGACGCCGGAGACTCTGTTATCAACATTTACCATAACAGTGTCTCCGAGTTCATCGGGAACAGGTCCCAGCGATGAGATCAAGACTTCAAGCTTTACGTCTGATTACTTCTCCCACATCGACGAAGAAGGATTCACCATCACCACTGGCCCATTACCCTCATCTTCGGACTTCACCTCGTCTTCCTCCCTAGCTTGGAACTATGCACCGGTTGGGCAAAAGAGCGAGTCACTTGACCAGAACGAGGCGACGACTACAGCAAGGGCTGTACCGGGCGGGAATGTTGTGATTCCTCCTGAGATGCCTGAATGGGTCGAAATTACAGCGTCATTTCCCGCGACTGATATCTACTTGGATGGGCCATCGGTAGAAATACCAGTCTCTTGGGACCACCCTACTGCCATTACTACCTCTGATTATGGTCCCACACAAACCAACACCTTTACTTCCACTCGAGGGCAGTTCTGGAATCAGACAACAGCGCCCCACCACAATCAGTCATCAACATTGACCACGTCAAAAATGTTATCGTCGAGTACTATTGGTTACTGTGAGCCATCAGACCTAACGGCAACCGCCACAAGCCTGGGATGTTGTGCCCATAAGTACAATTACGTGGGTCGGTGATCCATCGAACTACACGCAGCCTTACCCTACGCTTATTCCGCCCCCCGTCGAGACCATCGCGCCGTGCATAGTTCCGGTAACGAAAACAGCACCGCCTCCAGGGATCACATTAACCACCTGCTTTACCGTCACCGTGAGTGGTGGTTCAGCGACCAAGTCATGCTCAGTAACGGTCACCACCAACAGCTGGGGATACGGCCCTCAGACTTCAACAACGATCAGGTTTGCACCCACGGTCACCTACATTACCACAGACAAAAACCCGGCGGTTGTGTACTCGCCAATGCAGACCCCTGACTACGGCGTAACCAACGACAACACAGGGTCACCGAGGCCGACGCCTGTGAGCGTTGATCCGGTCAACCCACCAGTGTACAACACGTTCCACAGTGACAATAGCCCGGGCGAAGTAATCAAAACCGTACCCAAGCCAGTTACCGTCATCGTGAAGCCTTCCGAGGTGGTGATTGGCACTTCCACGATCGCCGACAAGCCGGCAACAAAGACACAGACCGTCGTGGTGGGCGGTGAAACCTTCACGGTCGGGCCAACCCAGATAGTAGGAGGTGGTGCCACCGTAACCAGGCCGTCTACAACCAAAGGAGGAGCGGGAGCAGGAGCGGGAGCAGGAGGAATCATTTACGCCCCCGTGCCGACAAGCACCAAGCTCAACGACCTGTCCATCATCGTGAGCTCCTCCGTAGCCGTAATCGGCACAGGCAGCTCCACCTTCACTCTCCCACCAAAACCTACCACGGTCGTCGTCGACGACCATACCGTCAGCCTCGGGCCCAGCGGAATAGCCATCATCGACCCCAAAGGCAACCCCATCATCACAACCGTCACCCTCCCACCACCCCGCGAGCAAACCATCACCGTCGGCCCCGGCCCCAACAACGAACCCAAAACCACCACCGTAGACGGCGTCCCCATCACCATCATCAGCTCCTCCGTAGCCATCATCGGCGTCGGCACCAGCAGCTCTACAATCGTCTTTCCTCCCTCAGGCTCCTCACCCACCACCATCACCATCGACGACGGCAACGGCAGTGGCAACGGCAGCCACACCCTAACCGTGGGACCCTCAGGAATCACCCTCACCGCGCCCCTGCCTCCCGACGCCATCGCCACCGGGTTCCCAATAACCACAACCCATACCCTTTCCATGCCCCTTCCTTCACTGATAACCTCCTCTGGTCAACCACCGCCACCAACGCCCTCAACACCAGCAACAGAAGTCGTCATAGCAGGCGGCCAACTAATAACAGCCATCGGCCGCTCTGTGGTAGTCATCCACGGCACCACAATCACCTACACCACTCTCTCCTCCCCCTTCACCACCGTCATTGACGGCCAAGACACTATAGTTTTGGATCCCTCCACTGGCGTGTTAATAACGCACCACCTCCCTGCCACAACCGCAGGAACCGGTGCAGGAGGACCAGTGGCAGTAACAACTCTAGGCGGCCCCAACGCCGATCCATCAGCTACCGAATTCGCAGTCGTCGGCGGCGCGACGATAACGAAAGTGGGCGCGTCTGTGGTGGTGGTCGAGGGGGTTACGTATACCGTTGGTCCATCCGCGACAATTACTGCAGGGACAATAACGACGGTGCTGAGCGGGAGTGGACAGACGGTCACTATTGGGCCGGAGGGCGTGGTGGTGGGGACTGTGACTATTGAGTATCCTGTTAATGGTGACGGAGGGGGGAGTACGACGGTTATTTTCCCTGGTGCTGGTGGAGGGCCGGCGGCTGTGGAGACGGCGTCGGCGACGGCTGCTGGTGGTGGTGGTGGTGTTGCTGGTGGAGGGGGCGAGGGGTCAGCGAAGGATGGGGATGGGAATGGGGATGATGATGAGGATGCTGGTGTTTCGGTTCAAGTGATGTGGAGGGCTATGATGTTGGGGTTGGGAGTGGCTGGGGCGGTTGGGGTGTTTGGGTTGTAGGAGGGAGATGGGAAGTAAGTGAAGGTTTCTATGGTTTACATGTTTTATGTTCATGTTCTTGATGTTTTCCCTGTCATGATTCTTTCTAAAGGAGTTATATATGTTTTGGGCTGGGTCACAGATACCTACACATCGACGGGCGCATTTTGGCGCGAATAACGAGAGACCAGACCTCCTTCCGTCAGGAAGGGCTCTCCATGTTCTCTGTTTGTCTTGGTTTTAGCGGTTTGGATGTTGTACAGGCACGGGAGTGAACGAGTAGGGTAAAGATGTGTCACCACATCATCGATGAAGAGAAGACTTCCATTGTATTTAGTTTCTTATTATATCCTCGACATAATACGTATTGACAGCATTGTTTTCTCCCACATGCCAGCTACCTGTCGCTCAAATACCATTATGCAGGCCAACGTGTAAATACCTTATGCCGGAGAACAAAGTTGTGATTTCGTGTATGAAACAGTTTGAAGCACAGGATCAATGGGATTTCAGACAGTATGAGTGTAATCTCAATTTGCAATGCATCAAGTAAATAACCAAGTAGCCAGCCGTTAACCAGATATGTGCAAGAAAAGGCGCTGCGTGCGTGGTCTTGTTCCAATGCCCCTATATCTCTAAACCAATAAACAAAGCAGGAACATACAAATCTAATCGTCGCCATTCATGCTCTTTCATCATCCGGGGGATTCGTAATGAACCACCACCAACAACTACCATATGTAAACTGACTGACTCATTGACACCAAAAAAAACAACAACAAACAACAAACAACAAACAACAAACGAGGCTGCTTTCCTTTCATCAACACTAATTCTACCAAGTAGATCTAAATGCTTTCGCTTCTCCTTGCCGCTGCCTCCTTCCTTCCTTCCAAGCCCGTGTGTTCCCTCCAACCAAACCGTTCATCCATCCATCGTACTACCAACCCGCGCTCCAACCACATAATCATTTCGTTCCATTCGTAACATGAGAAGTTTCTTTACCTTTGTATGTATGATGTTTTCTTGCTTTGATATATTGACTGTTGTGTATCCACTTCTTGTGTGCAAGCAACTCTTTCTTCTATGCAAACAAACCCGCCCCAAAGACCCGCAAGCACATCTACGATGGTCTTCTTCTCCTCGATCCTTACGACTTCTGGAAGAACCAACTCGATCTCTTATTCTCGGGCGGGTTTTGCTGCAGAGTGGCAATGGTGGGGTTCGTAGCCGTGGCACCACCGGCGATGGCGTCGCCGCCACCGCGGAGCGGCTTAGCGATCCTGCTGCCGATGCTGAACCCGCCGAGGCCGGCATCGGTGCCGAGTCCGCGCGTGCTGCCGGCCTTGGCGGCCTCCAGCCGGTCCTTGACGGCAGCGAGCTGCACTTCGAACCTGGTGCAATAGGAAGACGGAAGGTTAGCGCTGATACTGATGATAATGAGGGCATGAAGCAACAACAAAGGGGTAAACACATACTTGTGATTCGCCTGGGCCATCTTTTCCTGGCTCTCCTGGAGCAGGCTCTCGAGGCTCTGAATCCGCTCATTTCTCGCCATCAACTTGCGCTCGGCAATCGCCACCTCCTTCTTGAGGGCGGAGTTCTGCTCCACAAGCTGGCGCTGAACTTGCGTCAGCTGCTCGAGGTTGCGCTCGAGGAAAGCCATCTTCTTCTGCTGGGCGCGGTTGTTGCTGCTGCGGAGCACGTTGTTATACTGCTCGCGCGTCTCGTCAAGGGAGATCTCTAGCTCGACCACGCGCTCGCAGCGGTTCTGCAGATCACGCATCAAGCTCTTCTTCATGACGTCGAACTCGGCCAGCTGCTGCTGGACAGTCTTGCCATTGGCCATGGCAACTCCGGCACCACCGGCCTTGACGCGGCGCTGAAGATCGTCGACCAAAGCCTTGAGGTGCTCCGTCTCAGAGTTCTTCAGGTTGATATCAGCCTTGAGCTGCTCGACAAGCTCAATCTGGACAGCCGACTTGTCCGAGAGCGACTTGGCAAGAAGGGCCTTCACCTCTTCCTTATCAGCCTCAGTGAGGTTGCGAGACAAGAGGTCCTCGTGCTCTTGCTGAAGAGCCTCGAGACGAGCCTCAAGCTCAACCCGCTTACGAGCCTCCGCATCGCTCGAGGCAGCGCTGAAGCTGGACAACTCAGCTTGGCGCACAAAGCCCTGGGTCTCCACGAGCTTCTCCCTGAGTGCCTTGAGATCCTCAGGAGGAATGGCATCACCAGCAGAGCTGATCTCGAAGAGCGCATCTATTTGCGCAATCGCATCAGCAACTGCCCGCTCATTGTCGCTGAAAACGTCGCCAGAAAGGTCAAAGCCAGCCATCATCTTGGCCATCTTCTCCGCCTTCTTCTTCTCCTTCTCGTCCAGCACAGCGCTCGTCTCCTTGGCGCTCATCTTCATATCGAGCATCTGTTGCTTGACCTCGTCAAGCTCAGCCGTGAGTTCCGAGTTAGCATCCTTGAGGCCGTCAATGGTGATTTGGGCCTCCTTGTTCTCGAAGGCCAGCCTCTCCAGTTGCATCTTGAACTCGTTGGATTCGCTGATCAACCTCTCATTCTCCTTTCCAAGCTTGCTGTCGTGGTCCTTGAGAGCGACAAGCTCTTCCTTTGTTTCCCGTAGTTGCCTCTCAGCAGCCGCCGCGATACTTTCCTTCTCCGCGATCTGGTCTTGGAGCTCGTTCTCGCGGCGCAAGAACTCTTCCCGCTCATCCTTATCCAAGGGTAAGCTGGGAGTTCCCGCTCGGTCTGAAATAGCAGGGGTCTCAGCCCGGTTCTCAGGCAGTAACCGTGATGGTGTCGAAGGACGGGCTGTTGTCGCGGCTGACTTTGAAGGGACAATCGCAAGTTCCAAGGGTGGTACCCATTTCTCTTTGGGTACAGTCTCGCCACCACGCCATACTTGCACTTCGCTTTCCAGGTTGACGATGTAGTTCTCGAAGGACGTGATCTGGGTCTTGGCCTTGGCAAGCATCTGCTTGAGCTCGGCCGGGCTGAGTTCGGCGTTGACTTTCGCTTTGTTCTTGATCGACTTTGCTCTCATACCGAAACGTAGCGTACTTAGTGTTTCGGCATCGTTGTAACTACTGGGCGAACAGTTGATAATGAGTGTCGTTCGACTGTTACCACCCAACGATTCTTGGAGAATACGGGTGAGCTTCGAGTCTCGGTAAGGGACGTGCGAAGATTTGCCGTCTGTCAGGGCATTGATGACCATACCAAGAGCACTCAAACTCTTGTTAATCTTCTTTGCTTCCTCCAGCGTCTGACCACTGGCGCCCGTCTTGCCGACCTTTTCGGAACCAGCCAGATCGACCAAGAAAAGCTGACCGCTCTTGGCCGAGCCCGTCTCCACGTTCTTCTGGGTGATGGTGATAACGAAGATGGAATGCGAGCGCGACGACTCCTGGTTCATGTTGGTCGAAGCCACAGCTCTTGCGTTGCCACCCCTTCGCATGACTTCGTATACTTCCTGGACGCTTGAGACGTAGATCTCAAGCAGACCCTTGACGTAGACGCCGCGGTTCTTTTCTTCGTGAACTGGCAGGTTGTCGTTCTGAGGCGCCAAAAGATCACGGATTCGCTCCATGTAAATTTCCATATAGCTGACCCGGACGGTATACTCGATGTTTGCTGCGCTGGACAAGATGCTGGTAAAGATCTGCTCGACGATTCTTGGAATAACACCTCTGCCATCAGGGTCGTCTATACTGGTACCCATCATGGTATAAGATTTACCAGCACCGGTCTGACCGTACGCGAAGACGGTACCGTTGTAGCCATTGAGAATATCGTCGACGGTAGGCTTGATCGAGAAATCGAAGATGTCGGATTGCTTGCATGACATGTCAAACACCCGATCAAAGGTAAAGGAACCCTGCGCTTCTTTCGACTGTAGGCAAGGACAGACGGGTTAGCTATGGCGGTCCGACTCCATTGAAAGCGCGTTGAAGGTATAGCAAGACAGGCACAAGGGCATTGTTTGGCGCGAGAGCTAGGGGGTAGAGGATGGTGCTCACATCGACTGTACAGGTATCCGGGCCCTGGAAGGAGACGATGGGCTGGCCGCCCGACTCGATTTCGACCCTGTTCTGGGGCCGAAACCGAGCCACGACCTTGATACTATTCGACATTATGGTGATTCCCTTGCAGCGCTGGGCAGCGCACTGTCATGAAATGAGGGGAGATGGACAAGGAGCCCGGCCGCCTGCAGCAGAGAAGAGAGAGGCAGGGTCTCAGTCAGTCAGGGTCCAGCTGTCTCTCCGAGAAATGGATCCGAATATGATAAAAAGGTCGCTTGGTCTGGTTGGGCGCGTGTTCTCGTCGTCGTTTCCCTCCTCCGCGGTCCGTCGTGAGCGGTGGTTGTGGTGTGGTGCAGTTGCGGTGCGGTTCGCGGCTGCGGGTGCGGTGTGCGGAAGGTAGCAAGGTAAGAAAGGCAAAAGGTGTGAAGGTGGGCTGCAATGTGACACACTACTCGCCCGCCGAGGCACGTTAACGTTTCGTTAGGTAACTGAACCCCTTTGGGCTGCAGCGAAGCAAAGACAACAACCTAAAGCTATGCAAAGCAATGCAAACCTTGGGCGGAATATGTGAAAGGGCAAACGTGTGCAGAACGTGCAAAAAGGGGGCTGAAAGGGGGTATCCGCAGTTCCTGTCGCCGCCGCCCGCTGTATATCGTCCGTCGTCGAGATGGAAGCCCGGGCAGGAAGGGGTACCTATCAGTGATCACACGTGTGGTCGGTACCCAAGGGCAATCCAAGGGTCTAGAAGAAACCTACAACAGATGTCGAAACGCGATGAAGATGGTGGGGTCTTGTCGGTCAGTGCAGAAAGAGTCGCAGCCTGAGACGCTGGACGGACCGGGCTTGGACGGTGCGCAGCCAGTTGTTGCCAGTGGACGACTCGACTCGGCTGGGGCCTCTTGGGGCAAGAGCGCGCTGTGCGGACCCAGTCGTGCCTGCTGCCCCTGTCCCTAACAAAAGCGGGACGGCACTCGGGCGGCTGCCGTGGGGCTGCGAGGCGGGCGGCGACCGGTACCTCTAGATGTAGGGTACCTGTCGGAGGTGAAGATCGGATGTCCGGTCAACTTTCTCGACTGTCGCTTTGGCGAGATTTCCTTTGATGTAGAGATATCGACAAAGTGAAAATGTCTGTAAATTCCCAAATTACATACTTTAGTGATCAAGGAATCTTCGATCTGGAAAGCGCACCTAGCCTGATGGCAGGTACCCGACTCCCAAAGGTGGCACAAGCATGCAAGGAAGTACTCCTCAGAACTGTTTGCAACTATTTCCAAATGCATTCTTTAAAGCCTCCTTCTCTGCTGTTCAAGTTCCCGGTTGCCAATACTTTTCTTTTTGGTTAACTTGAGACCTCCAAGCTATGTCGTCAACATGAGCGTTCCAGAGGCTACAGCTGAAGCTAAAGTTCGACTATTCCCAGAACATGACAACCTTACCCCTTGTGTAAAGCATTTGCAATGAGTCAACCCAATATAAAATACTTTAAAAAGGATGAAAAGAGTTCCAAAAGGGTTAAGTAGAGGTAGTATGTAAGTAGGGTAGTTCGGTAAGGTACGGCCAGGACGTAGTTAGCCTGTCTTCCAGTCACGCAGGGACCGTCCGTTCAAGGTATGCCTGTTTAAGGTGAGCATGTGTCGAGGGACGCCGCTATTCAGACGATGCACGTTAGGAGCTACCTAAAAGCCTTATCGAATATATAAACCATGCGGATGTAAGGCGTTAGGCAGGTTCATGTATACACTGTCATAACAGCTGGGAAATGCAGGACTCTTTTGGTAAGCTTGCGCATCTAAGCCGGCCGACATAATGCTGTATGCTTTTTGTGATGAAACCAATAGACACTAGACCATCTCCTTTGTCACCTCCAGGACGAAGAGAAAAAAGAACACTACCTCGGGCTTCTTGGGTGAGTTGAGGTATCCAGGGACTGCCTCGCCAGATATGCTTGCCATGCTATGATACGAGCGCCTAAACTCCAAACCCGGCAACCGCCCTAATGTGTCAGCAAACCCAAGCAAACCCGCTTCCTCAATTGCAGACAAGCAGGCTGAGTCCCAGCCATAAATAAGCAAGAGATGCGGATATTTGAAATACAAAGAACGCCCCAAAAAGAATGACGCCTCCCAAATGCAATGTGATATCACGACATCCGTTCCATCCTCAACCCCCAAAAAGGAGTAGAACCGTTGGGTATCCTCGAGTGCAGATCCTCTTGTAACTTGTCGTCGGTCGACAACCGACTATCGGTATAGCCAAAAAGATCTGTCTCGAACAGTCCAGAAAGCCATACCAACACCGACTTGCAGCACCCGGGCCTATTATTGGCTTATAGCCATCGAGCGGCCCCGTGGTGGAGAATGCTGCTTATGTTTAATCCTCCCAGCTCTTCTCAACCGTTTCCCGGACTCTCTTGTGGTATTCTTTGCGGTTGTCCTTGTAGAGGTTGGAGGCTTCGACGTTCGCAGGCGATCCTGTGTTCGGGTCATTAAGCAGACTGGAGGAGACACTGTCAGCATATTGACCACATCCAAGTAGGCGACATGACGTGAATATCGGGGAGTCGCACCTTTGAATGCTTGTGAGGACAGCCGCCACGTCGTACGTAGGGCTCCAGCGGTTCTGGAGAATGTCGAGACAGAGTTCGCCGGTGGCGTAAACGTTGGGGTGGAACATCTCGCTGATGAACTTGACCGAGGGGGGCTTGTTGGGATATTGCTCCTCAAAGTGCATCACCAGGCGGAAGGTGCCATCCTCGAAGGGCGTGTCGGCGGGTCCGATAATCACGGCGTTCCTGTTTGGAGACTCTACGTCAGCCATCGCCGTGCCAGGGTAGACCGCCCATAGCGGTATCGTTGCGGAGACCATTCTCCTTACCAGGTCATAACATTATCGGGTACGGGAGAGGCGGAAACACCAGCGGGGGGGTCGGTTTGCATGCGCTGTTGAGAAGAATGGTGAGTATGTTGCGCTCATGGCGACCAAGTCATCAAGCGGTGTGAACCCAACGGGATGGCTCATCATGCCTCGCACCTTGAAGTCTCGCATAAGCCGGCGGCGGGCAGCGGTTGACATTTTGGCTATGGTGATGGGTGATCAAGTCGGCTCAACGTATGGGGGAATAGGATGCGATGCTTTGTCCGAGTCGAGATGGGTGTTGTGATTAGAGTAGCGAAGGAAACAATCAACTGTTTTGGAAGATGCGGAGATGAATGACGGAAACCAGCAGAGCCAGCAAGTGAACGCGCATAACGACCGCTATCTTATCGTACCCAACTGATTGGAGGGGGCGTCACAAAGAAGCTGGGAGAACGCGCGCCGAGGGCAGTGAACACCCAGTGACCGGCTGGCAATTGCCGCCGGCTTGTGAAGTACCAACTTCTCAGCCAATCAATTTTGAGATAAAAGCGGTTGTGGCACCTGCACGTAGTGGCTGCCAGCTGCTGGATTGGGGGTTAACCTATCGCGCCACCACTTTGAAGGGTTGTCCAGCCAAACATCCAAATCGGACTGACAAATGAATCCCAAACACTGGATCTGATTGTGCATAACAGCCAATTGTTGGGTTGAATCATTGAATCAAGCTTTTTCTTGTGACACCCCCGGCAGCTGCCCGAAAATACTTCAACGCCACAGCAGGACTTTATGCCTTTGCTCGGAATTAACGCACCATTTCAAATCGTGTTGGGAGCTCGGCCTTTGCCCGACCCGCGCGTAAAGTGGTTTGCTTCTGCCCAACACTCAAAGACGCGCGCGGGACGACGATTGCAGCAAGGACATGCGCGACTGGGATAAATCATTGTGACGCGAACCGACTGTTAAGCGTGCAGTGGGCTTGGATCCCTGACTTTATACGAGCCGTATCCGGTACAGCTACATCTGTGATGTTGGCACTGGCACAGCAGGAGACTGCGGAAAGAGTAAAATGAACGGGTGAGCGTCCGACTCCGGATCCGTTTCTCCGCCACGGCCTCAACTCTCCTCCATGTTTCTCCATCCGCCCGGCTACGGCATGGGCACGGCATGGCCCAAGCAGGGCATTGTGGATGAGCTTCCCTTGTCTTTCAGCGGCAGACTCCACGGAAAACCCCGGATACCAAGCGTTTGTGGCCCATGTGCCCCTTGGGGTCCCCGCGAAAACCACGGTGGTGGCCACTTTTGGCGCTCAATTGGCGGGGTGAGGGAACGTTTTTGAGTGAATCCCTCTCCACATGTACCGTCACAAGCCGACCAGTGCCGTCATGGCATCTGACAAGCTCCGAGGAAAAGAGAGCGAGGACGAGAGCAGTGCTCGCCTCCCCAGCTTGTAGTTTATTAATCAAATTTTTTTTTTCAGTCATACTCTTAAAGTCTCTCCTGCGATCCTCTTCTTAATCATATTTCTTTCCTGCTCTTGCTGTGTTGCTTCTCCCGTTGTGGTGTTGTTCATTCCCAATTCGGCACATTTCCATCTCATCTCAGCTTCCTCAGATTCTCTCCGACATCTGCGCTGCGCAGTACCATACCCTGCGTCCTGTACCACATCGTCACCAGCTGCAGTTTCTTTCTTCCGACAGCCAAAATGGTCCTCTGCCACGCCAGGACAGCCGTTAACTCGGCTTCGCACACTTACCGCGTCGCTTCCTCTCGTCTTTTTTCCACCCAGTCTGCCCTCCGTCAGCAGATTCAGGATGCCTACATTCTCAGTGGTGTGAGGACACCAACGGCCAAGGTGAGCTACTCCGCAAAAACGACCATATCCACAAGATGGCGGATATGCTAACATCTACCAGTTCAATGGCTCTTACACCACCGTTCCCGCTCCCAAGCTCGGTGCCGTTGCCATCAAGGAGGCCATCAAGAGGTCGGGAATTCCCGTTGAGAAGATCACCGATGTCTACATGGGCAACGTCCTCCAGGGCTCTGTCGGCCAGGCCCCCGCGCGCCAGGCCGTCATCTTTGCTGGCCTTTCCCCCAACGTTGAAGCCATCACCATCAACAAGGTGTGCGCTTCCGGTCTCAAGGCTGTTGTCTTCGCTGCGCAAAACATTCAGCTCGGTCTAGCCGAGGCCCAGGTTGCTGGTGGTATGGAGAACATGACAAGGGTGCCCTACTATGTTCCCCGCGCTAGCGGTATGCCCCCCTTCGGCCACATCAAGATGGAGGATGGCCTTCTCAAGGACGGCTTGACCGACGTCTACAACGAGTTCCACATGGGCAACTGCGCCGAGAACACTGCCAAGAAGTTCCAGGTCTCTCGTGAGCAGCAGGACGATTATGCCATCCAGTCGTACAAGCGCGCCCAGGAGGCTTGGGCGTCCGGAAAGTTCGCTGAGGAAGTTGTCCCCGTCACCGTTCCCGGCAAGAAGGGCGACAAGATCATCGAGGTGGATGAGGGCTACAACGACATCAAGCTGGAGAAGGTTCCCACTCTCAAGCCTGCCTTCATCCGTGATGGCACCGGTACCGTGACTGCCGCCAACGCCTCCACCCTCAACGATGGCGCCAGTGCTCTTGTTCTCGGCAACAAGTCGCTCGCTCAAGAGTTCGGCAAGGGCTCGAGGGTTCTTGCCCGTATCGTCAGCTCTGCTGATGCCTCTATGGACCCCATCGACTTCCCCATTGCGCCCTCCAAGGCCGTTGAGCTTGCCCTCAAGCGTGCCGGCATCAGCAAGGACCAGGTCTCCATTTGGGAGTTCAACGAGGCCTTCGCCGCCGTGATCAAGGCCAACGAGAAGATTCTCGGTCTTGAAGGCGCTGTCGTGAACCCTCTTGGTGGCGCCATCGCCCTCGGCCACGCCCTTGGTAGCTCCGGATCCCGCATCCTTGTTACCTTGCTTCACCAGCTCCAGCCTGGCCAATACGGTGTGGCTGCCATTTGCAACGGTGGAGGTGCTGCCACCGCCATGGTTGTCCAGAGGATCGAGTCGGTATAAAAGGGGATATTGGGGCGTTAAGGATGGGTGTTTGTTGAATTCTCTTGTATCGGGATGAAGATTTGCAAAGCTTTGGAGTTGGTTGGGCTTCCTTTCATGTACAAATGGTATAGTGCGCTGCCATAAGCAGGGCCGGTCTGCACATAGTTACAACTGCATCTTGTTGGGTAAAAGCGACAGAATGAAATTGAAGATGTGAATAAGAACTGACATGTTGAGACTGACAATCATGGTGGTGGTGTAAATTTGCAACTTGAATCGAAGTGAACAAATGCAAGTCGTGCAACACGAAGCCCCAGGATTCGCACCCACAGCTTTTGGGTTAGGGTTAATGCTGTTCGGTCAGACACGCATCAATGCAGCACAGTGCAAACACACTCACCTCAACTTCACCTTTCTGAGATCGCAACTTCACTTCAACGGTCTGCATCTTTGTCTAGCAAACCAAACATCCAGCGACAACTGCAACGAATTTATATATCGTATCGATCCGGACTTTCTTTTGAGCACCAGCTCTCTAATTGCCTCAGCATCCAGATATCAGACTACGACGATACTTCACGACACACCCGGCCATTTATCCTTCACGAAGATCAGGGCGACTTTCGCATTTGCTTGAGCCCTGGCACGGCCGGGCTAGGACCTGGGAGGAGGAAAGCAGGAAGCCAAGTTGGAAGTCAACCCGACCGGCCACGAGCGCGTCAACAACAGATCAGCCACAGCCATGAGTCTTATTGCGGAATTTCTGGCCAGCATTCGCGGGTTCATACAGACTCAAAATGGTGACGAACTCCGCAACTGGCTGCTCGTCGAGCCTAATGTTGCTGCACATTATTATGAGCTTGGGCAGCAGTTGAGGTCGTCGTGTCCCGCCAATTCAGGCAATATTGAGAAGCTGGTCGAAAAGCATCTACCAGAGGAGGATGACGTACCTGAAGGAAGAGGCTCGCCATGGCCCGGCTTCAATTCGTTCATGGAGGAGTACTTGAAGTATTGGCGCGACGTAGATTTCAACGACATCGTTAAGCTCTATGGTCGGCTTAGCGACCTCCTCATATCATGTGCAAACGCACTTGCTAATCCTACATATGGCATCATGCTTCTACAAACCAGCATGTCGCTTTCAGAGGCACTCTCGAAGTTGGTTATGAGCATCACTAAGGAGCCTTCTCTCATGGCCCAGATCCAGGGCGACATGACTGGGGATGAAGCTGGCGAGAAGAAGTCGATTGTGGAGCTTGCCGCCGATATCATTCAGAAGATTTTCACGTCGTGTCTCACAGATCGATCAAGTACGCGCTGGCAACCTCCGAAGGGGAAGAAGATCGCTGTATATCTTTTCGCGAACTTGACACTGAAACTGCTGTTTGCTGTAAGTCTCATGCTCCCCCTTTCAGTGAGACCATAATGAGGAAATACTCATGGGAATACCTTATCATAGTGCGACAAGTCACGACTAGCGGTTCAAATGTTCACCAACCTCTCCACAAGCGGACCAGCACTCTCACTATACCCAGCATCACAGCGCGTGACTTTCCTGTACTATCTCGGCCGCTTCAACTTCGATCATGGCCATTACATGCGAGCCCACTGGTGCTTCGAAGAAGCATACCGACAGTGCCACCCGCAATTCCAAAAGCATCGCCGGCAGATTCTGATCTACTGGATTCCTTCGAACCTTCTCCTGGGACGTTTCCCGTCACAGCTGCTTCTTTTGCGTCCCGAAGCCGCCGGCTTCGGCGACATCTTCATCCCCATTTGCGCCGCCATCCGAACCGGCAACTTTGTCGCGTTCCACCAGGCCCTCAACGCCAGCCGAGACTGGCTCTGGGACCGCGGCCTCTACCTAACGCTCCTCTACCGCCTCAAACCGCTCGTCTGGCGCTCCTTCACCCGCAAGACATTCCTCCTTACGTGGGAGGGTGCCCAAGGAGGCGATCTGAACATGATGAGCGCCGCTAACCGCGCCGCTCCCGCCCTTTCCCTCGCCGACCTCGTGACAACCGCCACCTACGTCCAGAAGCTCCTAGAGGGCTATGTTCCCATTGCTACCGGCAATGGCATCACTCTCACCCCTCCCCCAGGCGGACAGCCAAAGCGACTGATGCCCTCGGAGGGTTTGATCTTCGGAAACAAGCAGCCGGATCTCGACAGCATGGAGTCGATCGTCGCGGGCTTGGTCTACGCGGGCTTGCTTAATGGGTTTATCGCTCGCCAACAGAAGAAGTTCGCCGTCGAGGGCGCCAAGCGCAAGAATGGAAACGCGGTGCTGGCGGGGTGGCCGTGCCCGTATGAGAGTATCATGGAAAGGTTCAGGGAGGACTACGAGGAGGAGCTGGCGGCGGCGGATGCGGGCGAGACGAATGAGCCGCCGGGGGATTTTGAGGATGTGCCTGGGTGGGTTAAGATGGGTTAAGAGTAGTTGAGGATGAGGTGTAAGAATTGGGAAGACAGACAAGCTCTTGAAGGTTGATATCGCTCTAAATATTGTTGCTTTTTACTCTATAATGCTGCCATGTAGAAGCGGCCACATAGACTGTATTGCCGTAATAGCTAAGCATTACATTTGCTATAGAGATTCGTAAGACATATTCTACAACTTGTAATGTGATGTTTTCCAACTTAGCACTATCGAGAAACGTGAGTAGCCTTGCGTTTGCCTCGGCTTAGAATAACAGAGCATTATTGAAAGTGGTGAGCTGATACGCAGACGAAATTGTTATTTTTAGTGCGAGCTCGTATTTACTTGATGAAGGGGGCTCACCTGGCTCACAGCCAACTGAACGTGGAGCGAGGAGGCAACCTGAGAACCTTGTCGACTGGTACGACCCGTACATGTATGACAGTACCTGCCAAGGAACAAGGAAGTCGCCAAACGGAAGTCGTACCTGCCTTGTGTTCATAAAATGTTTCATGTGCTGCTGCCGGATGAAGATCAATTTCTTCCTTGCGATTTTTTCTCTTCTTATCCAACCGCTCCTGCCCCATTGTCTTTTCACATTTCAACTTCTTTCTTCTTTCGACTGGAGCCAATTCCTACTTTGTTGCTCACTGGCAAACTTCGAGTTTAGCAAATCTGTTATCGTCACCACTGCATCGGCATTGTTTCAAGACAAGATTTTGGATTAAACAAATTCGTCATCACGAGCATCGTTTGCTCTTTCATTCAGTGTCTCGTCTCAAATAATATCCAATGCCCAACCCAGTTCTCCTCCAGAGCAGCACACCAGAAAGTCGAGACCCTAGGTCTACCAGACTTTTCTTGATGCCTCCGTCCCGACCACGGATCCCCATCATTTGTTTGTTTACATCCTTCTCCTCCCTTTTGCCAAAAATTTACGTTTCGACATCCATCATAGACCCGAGTTGCCGCCTCCGCCTCCCGACCTCCCAACCGCAACCAATTCAATTTCCTCCTTTCGAAAACGGTCATTTTCCACAAAAAAAACAAAAAAAGATTTATCCAATATAGAACAAGATATCGCCAAAAAGCTCGCCACACCCAACGCACAAAGACCAAAAAAAACAACCAAGAGCTTCAAATGGGGGTATATCGCCGAACAAAAAAAGATATCCTCGCAAACAAACAACCCGATCCCCAAATTAAGTCGAATAATAAAAAACCAGTCCGTTGCTTGCCGCAGCAAGAACAACAAGTGGTCGAGGGGAGAAGGGCACAAGATGGCAGCAGCCTTTGGCGTGCCAACGCGGGCTGCAGAAATAACAATAGACACTAGGTACTAAGCGTATGTATGGAGGGTGTGTTAAAAAAAAAAAAAAAGGTATGTAAAGTTCTTGTGTTGACTTCCGGGATTCTGACGTAGGCTGATGTGGTCGTCTCAGAGATGTGTGTCTTCGTCGTCGTCGTCGCCGCCGCCGCCGTTTCCCGAAATTCGAAGAATAAGAAGCAGAGTCAGGTACAATTCGGCCGGGTGTACCCTTGTATATCGGCCGCGAAATCTGGTGAAGAAGATAATCCAATGTCGTATACAGGAAATCGAGAATCAGCCTCCTAGGAACCCAAAAGGCCCATCTCCTTCTAGAACTGCGCAGGGATGGCAGTCTAGAGGAGAGTTGCAGCGGCGACAATGGCAACAACCAAGCCGGCAATGGCAGCGCCACCTTCGTGAGCCGCGCCATCGTTCTTCTTCGACGTGGTCGGGACTGGTGCGGACTCTTCGATTTCCGTTAGTTCGGGTGCTTCCGTTGTCTCGGGGGCTTCGCTAGTAGGAGTTGAATCGGTGCCGTTCTCTTTGAAGATACCACCCCAGAGTACGGGCTTCGAGGCCGACGGTGTCTCGGAGGACTCAACAACGGAAGACTCTACTGTGCTGGACGCCTTTGAGGATACTGGAGCCGACGACGTGTGGACCGAAGAAGAATAAAAAGAAGAAGAAGAAAAAGAAGAAGAAGAAGAGGTGGTGGGAGGAGGAGTTGATGTGGTGGTAGGTGTCTCCTTAGTCGAGGTGGTCTTGGGAGGATCAGGCTTCTTGGTCGTCGATGTGGTCTTGGGAGGGTCAGGCTTCTTGGTGGTTGAGGTCTTGGGCTCTTCATCGCTGGAACCGTCGACGTTGAAGACCACGATGTTGGCAGTCGATCCCTTGGGAACGGTGACAACGCAGAACTGAGCACCGCCAACACCCTTGGTGGAAACGGGGCTTTCCAAGCCTCCAACGCCGTGCTTGGAGGGATCGATGGAGCACGGCAGGCCATTGCAACCCCCAGAGGGGCACTCGATCTTGACACCAAAGCCGGGCTTCGTCTTCTTCCAGTCGCAGTCCATGTAAATGGGATTCCACGCAATCTTCAGGTACGTCTCACCACCCGAAACGGTGTTTGCTCCAGCAACATAGGGACTCCAGTTTCCGATGGGCTTGGCCGGGCTGCCCCAAATGCAGCCCTCGGCAGAAGAGACGCCAGGCGCGTTGATATAGTAACTGACGAAGGTCAGCCGGGTGGGTCACAAACATCATCATCTTTGGATGTACTTACTGCGCAGCGGTTGAGTCCCAATAAGAGGGTCCAGGCACAGCGATCTTGGACTGGCCCGAGATATCTGTGGGAATAATCATGGCCTCGTTACCAGGCAAGACAGTTTGGCAAAAAGACACAACCTTGCCAGCCTTGTTAACTACCTGAACAGTACCGGTTCCATCCACACAGTATGGTTTATCATCGAAGGCCTTCTCAGGCGTTCCTTTGTTGCAATACAGACCACCGTTCTTGACCATGTATTAGCGCTTCACGTCTGCCTAGGGCGAGGTATATTTCAACTCACCATTGACTGAGGATAGACATAGGTCGAGTTTGGTTCCCATTGCGCCATAACCTTTCCAGGAACACAGGCATATGGGCACCACTTTCCGTCTTCGCATGGCTCATCGGGGCTCATGGCGAAACCATTGTTCATGCCTCCCGGAACAAACACAAGGTCAGGATGGTCGGGCAATGAGCATTGCGTCTTCCTCTTTTGCAGTTGAGGCATCTCAACACGCTCAATGGTTTCCTCGACATGACTGTGTCTCCTCGTTGGACGTTCATGAAGATGGCGATGACCCCCATGACCGGCAGAGACAGGTTGGGCACTGAAGAATAATGAGGCCGCGCCAAGGGCGGTCTGGAATGTGGAGAGCTTCATGTTGGCTCTAGGGGTGGTTTATTTGATATCGAATGGTCGTGGAGCTCAGCGCGTCGAGATATAAGCTCTGGTACAAAGTCGGTTTGCCGTTCAACTGATATTCAACACTAACACTTTCCCTATTCAGAACTCGAGCCGGTGTTCATAGGACATAAAATCGTAAAGATGATCAGGTCGGAACGATTGTGAGAAGATTCGACGAACACTAGACAAGCCGAGGCGCGTCGAGCTTCGAAGGGGTCAAGATCAACGAGTGTGAGGTTCCAACGAAGGTCCGTGGAGGAAAGAAAGATCAGAGAGCGACAGAAAGAGGTGCACGAGGAGGGAAAAAGCTAAGCTTCACCCCAGACGGGGGAATGGGATGGGATTGGGATGGGTCGACGGGGAGCCGAGCATGTTGTGGCCCATGTCGTGCCCCATGTCCTGGCGTTTTTCCACTCAGATATCTCCCCGGGGCGGGCCAACAAAAGGAAGCTGTGTGGAAGGGGAAGACAAGCTACCTGCAGGTCGCGATAAACTCAGGGGGTGTATCCAATCAGCGAGTCGACCGCTTCGGGGTCCCTGGGCGCCTCATCTCGGCACCGGGTGGGCTGGTGGGCTCGAGGTGGCATCGGTAGGTGGTGTCCTAACGGGTTCATGCCAGGAACACCTCGTCGCGACCAATGATCGGTGGTGTTGGATATTGTGCCGCTAACCCCAAAGCGGTCGATGAAATGAGGACTTTTACAGCGATGTTCAAATCAAGGCGACAGGCTTGACCCGTCCACTCGTTGTCTCCGAGGAGAGGTGTTAGGGAGACGACGAAGGATGACATGAATAGTCAACCGACAAGCGATTCTGTTCGGAACTTGCCCATCTGGGAATGAGATGTGACCGCCGACCGGTTTGGGTCGGCACGTAAGAATGGAATCTCTGCCCTTTTGGTGACGGAAATGGCATTCCTTTTCAGATTGCCCTTTTCCACATGTGTACACCTCGCTTGGAGATTGCTGTCGTCCAGGTCCTCCCTTTGGAGTTTGAACCCTTTTTCCCCAAATCCCCACGGCGATCCCCACGGTGAGCGATGAGTTTAAAGAGCAAAAGCGGGCCCACCGGGCAGGGCCTGGAACTCGTGGTCCATTTTTTCTTACCTCAGGGGTAGTTTGGCCGAGTTGGGGATTGCACCTTTTGGCAAAGAAACTCTCGATCAGGAATCAGGCTCGTCAGGTTACCGGGGTAACTCATTGGTCGTTCTAACGGTCGCTGTGCCAGACCGCTGCCACGGGCTTCAGATGCCCTCCGATACAAGACTGGAAACACATGGCCTGCCTGCCTCGACTCAAGTCTGAGTTATGTTGTTGTCGACGATGCACGGAGTCGGACGATTTTGAGAACACAGACACAAGTTAATTGTTAGGGCGAGTCGGAACACTGTTTATGGGGATTGCTGACGCAGTCGGCCGATCAGAATATTAAGGTTTGCGGGAAACCCGGGAACCGACAGGTAAAGAGGTGTGTGTGTGTGTGCAACGGTAACGCAGTGTGCAGCGCCATGGGCGGGAGGGAAAACTGAAGATGAGTGTTTGTTTTTGCTTTCTCTCAGGGCAATTTTTTTGGATGTGATGGGAACAAGAGCCAGCGCCACGCATGAACCCCCCCTCCCTCCAACATTTTCATCACTCTATCGCATCTGTCGGTTGACAGGTATGTCGGTGGTCGGAACTTACCGTTTTTGCCTGCCCGTTCGGAGTGCGGGAAGGACATTGATGCGCGGAAACAATTGTTTGCTTGCTGAATGGAACAACCCGAGCTGACAGCCGCGGCTGCTGGCTGCCAGAAGCACGGAAGTGGAAGGTGTCTGCAGATCGCCGACTACTGTACGTCGGAGCTGTCAACAAAGCGAAAGCTTGGAGGGCGTGAATGTCAGGGGAAAATAGCGGTGTCAACCCTAACCCTTATCTATTGCCAACCTTTTAACCCAGCAGCTGTCCAGTGATCACATCGTTGACGACATTTTCATCAAAACACCAAAAATTCACACGTGTTGAACAAGATGGATTTTCGCCTTCTTCAACCATCACTAACCACGGATCTTTGGAGCAAAAATAATTCCAAATTTCAAATATCCATTATTATTATTTTGGTGGTGGTATATGTCTAAGGTAAGCATGTAAGCAGGTATCCTCACAAGCTCCAGTAGCGGTTGCCAGTGAGCGAGTTATCCAGATCCTCTTCTTCTCTTTCAGTTCTCTTCCTTTCTTCTTCCTCTTGTCCACCATCTGATATCATCGATCCTCCACCCCATATGGAATGGGTCTGGTTGCCATCCATCTATCTCCTCAAGTCATGCGAGCAAAGCGGTCGGTAGTTCCGCGTTTCTCTCGTATCCTCCCCTTCTCTACCTATGTAGGCATTCCTGCAATCATGACTCCATCCAACTCTTCAACAATAATGGGAAGCGATGTTTAGACGCGCTTGACACCAGGGACGGCGGAGGGAACACCGGAGGGGATAGGGACTGAGGAGACCTCGGGCGCGACGGCCTTGGTGCCATCGACGACCTTGCCAGCAACGTCAACCGGAGCGGGAGCGGCGGCGGTGGCGTCAGTGACAGGGGCGGCAGCGTCGACGGGGGCAGCACCATCGACGGGAGGGACGGCGCCAGCAACAGCATCGGTGGCGGGGGCGGCAGCGTCAGCAACAGGGGCAGCGGCATCGACAGCAGGGGCGGCAGCGTCGACGGAAGGGATGGCCGCAGCAGCACCGTCAGCCGGAGCGGTAGCATCAGCGGGGACAGCGCCATCGACGGGAGGAATGGCAGCGGCAGCGGCGTCGGTGACAGGAGCAGCAGCGTCGGTAACAGGGGCGGCAGCATCGGCAGGAACCGCGGGAGCGGCGGGAGCCTCAACAGGAGGGATGGGAACGCCAGCGGCATCAACAGCAGGGGCAACACCGTCAACGGGAGGGACGGCAGCGGCAACGTCAGCGGGAGCGGGGACCTCAGGAACAGGAGGCACAGCGGGAGCGTCAACGGCCGGGGCGGCAGGAGCTTCAACCGGGACATCAGCCGGGACGGCGGCCGCAATGTCAGCGGGAGCGGGAACCTCAGGAGCAGCAGGAACCTCATGGGCACCTTCAACAGGAGGAGCCTCGACGTTCATCTGCTTCCAGTGGGCCGCACCAGCGGGAACGGTAGGAACGCCGGTCGAGAGCGGGACAGAGGGCTGAGGAGCATAGGCGGAGGCGTTATCGAGAGCAGCCTTGGCCTGCTGGCCGACTTGCTCGACGGGGGCGGGGGTGGGGACGCCGGTAGAGAGGGGGATGGCGGCCGCGAAGACGGAGGAGGCCGATGCGGCGAGGAGGTAGGCGAAGAAAGAGGTGGTGGTCTTCATTTTGGATAGTTGGTGGTGGTGGTTGGTTGGATGATTGGATTGGGTTGTTTAAAATGGGTATAAAACTGGTGGTTTGTTGAGTTGTTAACGAGTGTGATGAATGAGAAGCTTGTGTTGTGATGATAATATCGGACTGGAAAGACGGGAGAGAAGCAGTGGTTTATGTAGATGTTTTCTTTGGTGGTGGTGGTGATGGACTTGAAGTCAAGATCATCAAGAACATCATCTACAATGCTCTCTCCCCTTTTGCTCCTTGTTTGTTCCAAGGGGAATAGGAGATGTGGGTTGGGTAGTGTATCCATTCATCATCCGGGGCAGTGATGATGAGATCGCTGCTCACCCCTCCCTCTTACTGACTGACCGCAAGAGTAGGAGATGTGTTCTGGTTCATCATCAGGATCGTTGAACTATGGACCTACGGAGTGGGCTTGAATAACATGGATACTGTTACTGTTACAGTTCCAGTTCGGCAATTGCAAGGCTGTACGCATGTCGTTCACTTCATTGAGCCCACCAGAGCCATCTCCTGACCCATGCTGTCAGTAACTAATCGTTGTTCTAGAAGATGATCGCTATGCGATGAAACCTGTCAATCTGCAGGGACGTTAGGAGAGCTGCAAATCGTTCGTGGAGATCTATGTCACTTACGACAAAAGATAGACAGGGAGGACAAAAAACAAGCTCCATGATATGGATCCTGATCGGCATGTCAACATGGAGCCGTTTGCCAGGGGTTCGGAATTAGACGAGCAGAGTGAGGTACTACGAGGGTTGCGATCAACTTCTTGATGGGGGCTGACCCCTTTGATTATCATACTTTCCCTTTTCCCCAACACCCAACCTCAATTCCATCAACTTCATCAACCCGTGGGATTAGCGAGTGGAGATGTTTGTGGAGGAAACACACACTGTTCATGTCATCCCGTGAGATTTCACCACTCATCCACCGTGTCTAAAAGCCAAACCCCCACAGTTCCGTGATTAATAAGTCAATTACAAGCGAACCCCTTGAATCTAGCTTATGTTTTGAGGTGAGTCAATAATAGGGTGATGATAGGTTTATTCAAATGTTGGAGTGACTGTGGTGGTTTGGTGTGCAGATATTACTGATGTAGATCTGTCACAGGTGAAGAAGACGTGCTGGATCATCGCGACTCATTCTAGACGAGCAATCTTTACAGGGTGGAAGACAATCTCAAAGAGAAGGAATATTTGCATTATAGTCAGTCCGTTTCCTCTAACGACAGCAGTTCTTTCCAACTTCCGCACCATTCAACATCCAAAGGCCCGCGAAGTCAATCCGTCTTACACACCTTTCTAACCCACTCAAAACTCAAAATTCTCCCCAACCAACTCCTCACTCAACCCCCAAAGCCTTTCCGCATTCCCCTCATCAAGCGCCCACGGCGCCACAAGCTCCGGGTCCTTTGTGAACTGGCAATCACTCAGAAACACACCATCCTCTTCCTTCTCCAGTTCCGGATCCAGCGCAGCCCTCAGCATAGTCGCGCAACCCTGCTGCAACGTCTTGAACGGAATCTCCTGCCCCTTCCACGCCCTCTGCTTGACCTCCTCCATCAACTCCTCGTCCACATACCGACCCAAGTTGGTATAGATGCCACCCGGATGCAGGGCATACGGCCGGATGCCCGTCTTGGCCAGCAGCCGCTTGTTGAGCGCAAGAGTGAAGAGCACGTTGGCCATCTTGGCCTGGCCGTAGGCGTCCCAGGATTTGTACTCTTCCGGACGCTTGGTGAAGCTGGGGTCGTCCCAGCGGATGCCGCCGCCGAGGATGCTGCCCTTGGAGGAGACGTTGATGATTTGGGTCTTCTGGGGCTTCTTGCCCGCTTCGGCGGATGCTCTGAGCTTGGGCAGGATGTGGTTCGTCAAGACGAAGTAGCCGAGGTGGGCGGTGGCGAATTGCAGCTCGAAACCGTCGACGGTGAGTTCTTAGGGGGAGGCCATGACGGCGGCATTGTTGATGATGACGTCGATGTGGGTGATGGATGCGTCGTTGAGGATCTCACGGGCGGCTTCACGAACGCTGTTCAGCGAGGTGAGATCCGCAGCGATGAACTTGACGGCGATGGATGGGTTGACGGCGTGAACCGCGTCGATGGTAGGCTGGATCTTGCTGAGGGTGCGGCCCACGAGGATGAGCAGGGCTGGGTTGCCGTGGGCAAGCGAGATGGCTGTTTCCGCGCCGATACCTCCCTCACTTGGGCCGGTGATGAGGACTAAATGTGAGGAACGGAGTGTTAGTGATTGAAATGTTGGAGGAGTCAGCTGGGCTGGACTTACATGTGCGTCCCGAAGCTTGGTCTTGAAGATGGCGGACGACATCGATGCCGTCTGTGTTGAGATCAAGCTTGATGCCTGACATTATGCTGGACTGTTGATCTTGGTGATGGGTTATCAGGAAGTTAGTTGGACTGATGCTATCGAGGTCGTGTCTGTCTGTCGTGGTGAAGTTTGCTCTGTCCATCCAGCAGAAAAACAGGAGAGACTCGAGGCCATCTTATAGCTCTTCGTCATGGCTTGCCACGACAAACCGCGACGTTGTATGACAGGTCCACAACTTGACATGTAGGCCAAGGCCCAAGAGTGCGATGCCTGGTGCGGATGAGAGGCCGATTTCTGCGGTACCGCGGCCGCTCCCGGACCATACGGGTATAATTACACGGCACTCAGTCATATCGTCAGCCGGAAGGGTTGTCAATGGCATATTTAGGGCTTAACTCCATGCAGCTTACGTCTCACCCCCTTTCGGCGTTAACATGAGGTTCATCACCTAGGCTGGAGTTGGGGGATGGCATGCCGAATGAATTCTCGCTCTTTGCCACATTTACTCAGCGGATCCGTCCCAAATCCAAGTGTAGAATTGTAGCGAAGGTGTGATGATGATGATGATGATGGTTGTAAAGATGGCAAAGAGGTTGCTTCAGAAATTGGTGAGCAAGTGACAGGTTATGAAGAGTACAGAATATGCATCGTGGTAAACAGCTTGAGCCCCAATATTTTGTAAAGCATCCTAGCTTTCCCTAGCTAGTCGTGACGCCAAGTGATAGTGTTGGTAATGGGTTTGCCGCAAAGCCCTAACAACACAGAGTGCGCGAACCATGTCGCCGTGAGCTCAGCAGTGGTGGGTTACCTGGTGCGTGCCTTGGCGCGTTCCTGAACGACCTGTACCTATCAAGTTCACTTTCCATTCTTGACTGTCAATCCCAAACCTTCCCCGATCACATATCTTGCCAAACGTTAGCCCCACGTTTCTCGGAGCTTTCAGAAACTGAACTCTCAATGTTGTAGCAACTCTCACGTACTGTCTAGGTAGTAGTGGGGTCTCTGACTTGGGCCTCCCTTCCGTCAGTTTTAGAGCGTGTTGGCGGGGAACACAAAACACTTGGTGCATACCCGTTGGCAGTGTGGCCAGTGAGTGGTACTTGAGGGCTTCCGACCTACCTGCTGGTGTTTGTCATCTCGACACCCCACTTAACCTTCTTCATTCCAGAATCTAATCAACAGTGTTGGTTTTCACGGTTGAAGAGAAGCACAAGTCTTTTACCTAGTTACTAGGACACAGTCAGCGCCTGTCATGGTCACCATATCCGCCTCCAACGGCCAGGACGACGACAAGGACAAAACCCTTTACACTGGCTTGAGAGTCGCACGCACCGATGGCAAGGGATACGACAACCTCGACCACAACGCATTAGACCCAAAGGAGGACCAGGATATCGCGCAGCTTGAACGGTGGGAGGTCATCATCGGTGGTCATTTGCAGCATCAGCTCGGCCTCCCAAGCAACAAGCAGTACAAGCTCGCCGCTCTTCCCAAGGGGTACGAACTACGATGCGCCATTAGAAAGGACGGCGGAAGAGACTACTACCTCTATGGTCACCCGTCCGGTCGTAAGGCCGTTTATCGGACTCCGGGTGACTTCGTGCTGCATGCCCTCTTCCTGCTCAGCAACCACACCAACTACAGCCAATGCTCCTGCGATCTTTGCGGCAAGCTGGTTGAGTCTCAGAAGCTGAGGCAAGCCGATCAACAACATGCACAGAGGATCCAACAGGTACTGGGACAAAAGCAAAGGCAGCAGCAACTTGAGCAGCAGCAGAGGCAGCAAGAGCAGCAACGAAAGGAACAGGAGCAGCAGCAAATTCAACAGGTGCAACAGGCCCAACAGGCCCAGCAAATCATGCAACAAAATCAACAGCAACAACACCAGCAACAAAACAACACCAGCAACAACACCAGCAACAGGCACAGCAGCAAGCTCAAGGCAACCTTCAGTCACAGGTATTTGCGGCACCGGGGGTTACAAGTCTCACAAATGTCTTCCGCACAGGCGAATTGGTTTGGTACAAGCATCAGGCTTGGAGGCTCGGTGTCATCCTGTCGATCGCCCCCAAGAGGCAAACGCCAGGCCCTGTGCCAGATGCGGCCTTCAACTTCTTGGTGGCACCCCTGGGCCACCGGACGCTGGGACAACAAAGCTTCTATATCGATGCCAAGTCCATGCGGCCGTTCCTCACGTTTAGTGTACCGGGGATCGGCGAAAACTTCTCGAGCTTGGCAAACCGCACATATGACTCGATCGACTGGCCGGCCTTCTCGGTCCAGTATTGTCAGGGCCTGGGCCTCAGCGATCCGAATCAGCTGGATATTGCCAGGCAGACGGTCGGACTCGAAGCTTCGAAGTTGGCCGCCAAGTACATCAACGATTGCTACTCCACGTTCAACAGGATCAACAAGTCGAACGTCAGTGGTTCCCAGGATACCGCTTTCCATGAAGGAGTTTATCTCGGGGCTGAGATGATCCGTGTCGGAGATCCTGTCCGGGTCGTTGGAGGTAACGCTGACAATGGCCATAACAATGGTGGTGCTGAGGCGAACGCTGTCATGCTCGTCTCGGAGATTGCTACTGATGCCCACGGGATGAATATTCGGTTCAAGGGCAATCTTTTCCAGACCGTCCGGTCTGTTCTGCCTAATCCTATGCCACCCAGTGTGATCTCTCCCGAGTCCCTGGGTCCAGTCTTTCTTGAAGAGGTTATGTCAAGGAACGGGATCGAACAGCACAACAACGCGCAATGGGGCTGGGCGTTGGTTGAGCAGGACGCGGTACGCACTGAGGTCGATACACTGGGCCGTTTCTATGTGACCCATCGGTTGATGAACATCATTGACCCTGCACGATTCACGGCCTCGGTCCAGAAAGGGGTGGTGGAGGATGCGCATGCATACCTGAACAATCGAGCTCATAGCGGGAGCGGCCGTTTCAATGGCCCAAAACCGACACGCGCTGATACGCTGGGACTGGCTGTGAATGCGATGTTTGACGCGCCGGAGGGGATGGATGAGAGCTTCTAGGAGAGCTGGCTAGCCCGTGACATGGCTAGGATGTTTGGCTATCCCGCGACACATAGTAAGAATGGTACGCGAATTTATTTCGAGATAGGAAAGATGTCTGAACACTAGAGACATCAAGCAGCTAGGCACAATAAGCGTCAAGAGTCATATAAAGGAACTGCACTTTGTAGTCAACAGGAAGCGATTAGGAGAATCACCGGCATAGGACGGAGATTCGAACTTTGCTTACTAGGAGCGTACCTCCAAGTATATGGATGAGTATTGCAAATATGGACCTAAGAATGGGAACATTTATGATACAAATAAGGCTAAAGGATGCGATGTGAAGAAGTGTGCAGGAAGGCTTTGATATTTACACTTGCTCCTATTGTTAGTGCCCTGTTAGTATAAAAGTGGGCTGGGTCTTGTCCATCGTGTCTAACATGTGCCTGCCACCCCGCTACGAAAGAAACCACTAACAGCCACCACCAAAGGTTTGTTTCCCCGCCAAGACGTTACACGTTAGGGAGCTGCAGGGAGCTAATAATTAGTGGTCTCGTGGACATCGCGGTTTCGAGTTCTTACTCCGACGTCACTCGCTCATACCTACACATTAAGTGAAGGTTTACAACCAAACGTTGTACTTTGCTCCTTTCATCTCGCAGGGTTTCGAGCTTGCCTATGGTCAGACTTCTACCCTGGAGCTCTTGGTTCTCGCTTTGGGTAAATCTTCGCATCTGACGGAAGGGTCTGCGAGTCCAGAAAGGTGTTCCCATATACACAGGGCAACCACTCGAGCCGATCATCCAGGCTGCTGAGCCGCTCACATTGCCATATCGACAACTATACAACCGATAACTCGGAAATACGCTAGCCGGTGATATGGCTCGCACTACTTCCTGGCTGTCGCTGCTATTGCCTCTGTCGACACCTCTGTTGAGGCCGGCACTGGTAGAGGCATCAGAGCTCGTATGGGATAGGGACCAGGTGCCAATCAAGGGCAAATTTGATGAGACTGCTTGTCCAGACTATGCATCCTATGCTACTTATCCCCAGTGAGTCCATCATGCCTTTGCTCAGGACTCATCGCTAATCTGTATGGACAGCCGACCCTACAGTGAAGGTCCTCTTTCCCTTCCCTTCCAGCGCCCCCATGTCAGGTGCCGTACCTTTCAGTCTGACGCCATCGAGAAGGTCATCAAAGATGTCACATCCCGCATGAAGAACCCTGACCTTGCACGTCTTTTCGAAAACACCTTCCCCTCTACTACGGATACCACAGTCAAATTCCACACGAATGGCAAGGACGGCAAGGAAAAGAAGAAGCCGGCGACTGAAAGCCCCGTCGACAATGATCCGTGGATGAGTACGTACGAGGACCCAAACAAATGGGCGGGTCCACAGTCATTCATCATCACGGGCGATATTCTGGCTGAGTGGCTGCGTGACAGCACCAATCAGCTAAAGCCATACCAAAAGCTGGCCCTCAAGGACAAGGTCATCTTCGACCTGATTCTTGGCGCCATCAACACCCAAAGCGAGTACGTGATCGAGTCGCCCTACTGCAATGCCTTCCAGCCGCCGCCCCATTCCGGGCTTCCCGTCACCCTGAACGGCCAAGACGACACCGTCCACCCGGCCTTCAATCCTTCCTTTGTCTTCGAGTGCAAGTACGAGCTAGATTCGCTCGCTCACTTCCTTGCTTTAACCAACGCCTTCTACACCCACACCAAGAGCACCGACTTCCTCAACACGCGGTGGTACAAGGCGCTGGACTCGTTGTTCGACGTGCTCGAGGCGCAGAGCAAGAGCACTTTCGACCCGGAGACCGGCTCGTACAGTCGTAACCAGTACACCTTCCAGCGGCGCACCGACAGGGGCACCGAGACGCTGAACCTTGGCGGAATCGGTAACCCGCTGAACAACGGAACGGGTCTGATCCGCTCGGCGTTCCGGCCCAGCGACGACGCCACCATCTTCGGCTTCTTCATCCCCGCCAATGCGCAGATGGCCACAGAGCTCAAGCGGCTTGCGGCCATGTTGAGAGCCACAGGGAACAAGAAGGACGTCACGCGGGCGGAAACGGCGGAGACATGGAGCAAGACGATCACGGCAGGCATCTGGGAACACGGCGTCGTCCACCACCGCAAGTACGGCGAGGTGTTTGCGTACGAGGTGGACGGCTACGGCAGCGCACTGATGATGGACGATGCCAACTACCCGAGCTTGCTGGCGCTGCCGCTGATGGGCTTCGTCTCAGTGGACGATGCGACGTACAGAACACGCGCAAGATGCTCCTGGAGAAGGCCAGCAATCCGTACTACCTGACAGGAAGAGAGTTCGAGGGTATCGGAGGCCCGCATATTGGCCTGCAGAATGCGTGGCCGATGAGTCTGCTGGTGCAGGCACAGACATCGGATGATGATGAGGAGATCATGAAGTGCTTGACGCTGGTTTTGAACGCGAGCAAGCTGGGGCTTATTCATGAGAGCATTGATGTGAATTGGTCGCATTCTTATACACGTGAGTACCTCTCAAAAGAAAACATTGTTAAAACAAAGACAAAGCTGACATGATATTTCAAACTCTAGGAAGCTGGTTTGCTTGGGCAAATGGAGTGTTTGCGGATACCATCTTGGATATTGCGAAGCGCAAGCCGCATCTCATCTTTAAGGATGCGACACCTTACGAGCCTTGACTATGAGGAGGATGGTGATGGCAGCTAATGTTACGACTTTTTTTTCATAGTAGTAAAGGACTTGACTTGGATAGGACACCAGTGCGTTTAGACCACCTTGGTGCACTTTGTTCGTTACTATACCTGCGTAATGGAAACAATTGTTGCTTTGTACACAAAAACCAAACGTGTGTGGTAACCGTGAAGAGAAACTGATTTAATCCGAACATCTGAGGTGTGTGATAAAAGAGAAGATGCAAGACAAGGGAAAACATAAATGCCAGTTTCATATGAAAAAGAAATTGATAGAAAAAACAGAGAAGTAGAAGAAAAGATTTGCACAAGCAGACAAGGTCAAAGAGCATATCGAAGGAAAGAAAAAAAGTGCAAAAAGATGAGTCCCCTCGACCGGAATCGAGCCGGTGACCTTTCGGTATACAATCTAGACAATTACAGCCGAACGTGATAGCCAACTACACCACAAGGGGTTTTTCTCAGTGGTTATTGTTCCCGCTAATTTGTCAAGCTTATAATCGCTACTTTGTCAGCGTCTTCCCCGAGAAATTTCCCCTGGAGTCATTTCCCCCCAAACGACTTAACCTTACAACTTGGCTTCTACAATACCATTTCCTCTTTGCTATCATCAATCCAAATGCATGAACCTCCGCAAGCTCTGAATTGGTCCTATAATTACTCTCTATCAAAGCAGCACTGTAATCGGCCTTCCAGTCTCGGCTCTACACTATCGGAGCGTCACATCGGGGATAACGGAAGCCCACTCGCTCACTTATCACCATCGAGGAGATAACAATGCGGTTTTTGTACAACCAACAACGGAAAATGCTCCGAAACTGATAAAATTGAAACTTGTCAACGAAGCAACTTTTACCCCCGTGTAAGAAATCAATAATACGGTGGATAGTATTCATCTCTATTTGCCGGATGGCGGCGTTGGCCGGTAAGGTTCGCCAAGAGAGGCAGCAGTCGGATCGCGGAGCCCCGCCCGTTATCTCTTGGTGGTTGCAGTGCGACATCAGTCAGATTATCAGTGATCGCCGCGTTATCTCCTGGACTACCCAACCACTGAAACTCCGTCTTCCCGAACATGAAGCATTGTTCCTGAGGATCGCCCCCCGTTTGGCATATGCATTGTGTCATCGGACTCGGCCGACTCCACCATGGGACGCAACATCAAGGGCCAAGGCAACCGATAAGGAGTAGGGGCGGATTACAGCGAGGGGGGGACTTACACTTACATCTGAAGTATAAGTAACAAACAACATCCCGTCGTTCCTCTGGAGTCCGAATCAAGTCGATAGCATCAAGATCATCTCGAATTCGTGTGATCAAGCACTACCGCAGAGCAAAGAGCAAGAACGAATTTATATACACCATACCGACGCACATATATCGAAGATGGCTTCAACCACGACCACTCCCGTTGTTACCCCCTTTTCCCATCCCGAGGGCTCCAACCTCGACTTTGGAGCTACAGTAACAGGAGTCGACATTGAGAACTTGACTGGTAAGGCTGCATCAACGTGAAATTCGATATTCGTGGTTATATGATGATTTGATATCTACCATTCACACATGGGAGAATACCCGTTAAAATCGGTAACCTCCTCGGTAAGGCACACCACCACTCAACTTTCAAGCCAGATACTTTTTACCTGGTGCTGTTTCTTTTCTCGAGTTTGGCACTAACCTTATCATCTTCACAAAAACAGATGCCGATTTCACCATCCTCCGCACCGCCCTCTTCACCCACCAAGTCCTCGTCATCAAGTCCCAATCTCACGTCACCCCTCGCGCCCAGTACGAGCTCACCCAGCGCTTCGACCCTCTCGCCGCCCCCCTTTACGGCCACGGCAACGACGGCAATAAGGCCTCGGTCGCCAGCAAATCCATCCTCCACCCCGACCTCAAAACCATCCCCCACCAGCCCCAAGTCCAAGTAATTGGCAACGGCTTCGTGCCGTCCTACGAGGGCCTCACCAACATCCAGCTCCGCCACCCTCACCACCGCACCTTCCACTCCACCTCCATCCCGGACTCGTACGACCTCACCCACACGCGCTTTTATAGATGGCACATCGACGCCGCTTTGTACGGAGGCGTTGCCCGCGCTCCACCTGTGGTGACCACGCTCTTAGCCGTCAAGGTTCCCAAGGGACGCAGACAGACGTGCGTCTATGACGATGGAACGGGCGACGAGCTGGATGTCCCACTTGGCACCACGGCTTTTGTGTCAGGGTACAAGATGTACGACATCCTCTCGGAAACCCAAAAGGCGTTTGCGCGCTCGACCAAGGTCGAGTACGCGCCGCATCCGTACGTGTGGATGTCCTCCGCCAAGTCACGCAGTACCGGTCTCGGTTTGGTGTCCGAGGGCAAGGAGATGCCGCTGGAAGAACTGCCGGAGATCGAGCAAGACAAGATCCAGATCTTGCCCATGTGCTGGCGCAACCCCGTTACGGGCAAGCTGGCGCTGCAGATTCATCCTAGCGCGGTCAGGAGGCTGCATTTGGCGGATGGAAGCGTGATGGAGGACTTGAAGCAGGTGAGGGAGATTGTGTATGAATTACAGAGGCCGGGAATTGCACCCGACTGCGTGTATGCGCATGATTGGGAGGAAGGAGATCTGGTGATTTTCCATAACAGGGGCACGTTGCATAGTGTTGTGGGAGCGTTTGCGGAGAGTGAGGTGAGGCTGTTTAGGCAGTGTAATATTGCTGGGAGCGAGTTTCCTGAGGGACCGGAGGAGCTGGAGCATGAGGAACAGGAGGAAGGGGTTGTGGAGGTTATCTCTACGGAGCAGGAAAAGATTTCTGGCTTGAGGGTGGGAGCGGTGGAGGTTGGTGTTGTTGCCTGAATGAGGCGAAGAAGTTGATGAGTGATGACTTTATGATACCTTCAGTAATTCGTTGTTTTTTTGCTTTACAGTTTCTGATACATATGTTAACAATTTTATTCTCCTTTGACCAAAACATCTCCATCCCTTAAGAACCTGATTTTCTCCTATGATAAGTCAAGGCATGGTTCACTCTAAAATGATTTCAGCATTTACGTACAATCACACCAAGTCAAACAGACAAACCACGCAAGTTACACAAAGAAAACCTATAACTCCGTGCTATGGGGTTTCAAATCTAAGCCATGGAAGAAGAATACCTACATTCGTGTACAGGGTATTATCCAAGTTATTAATGACACCAATTCGACCCCCCTGATCCGGTTGCCCATTCATCTTTTGAAAAACAATCCAAAACCTCCCATTGGTCTTGTCTTCCTTCCGCCCACATAGGAATTCCAAATCTTTCCCTAAAACCGAGTACAAAATCATTAACTTCCACTCACACCACACTCTCCAACTTTAAGCCATCATAGACCGGGGGCATAGTCCTTGTCGGCAGATCATGCTCCCCTCCTCCACGTCCCAAATCAACAAAACCTGGGTTGAAGCTGGGCTTTACCTCCACAAAGCCGTTCCCGTAGCTGGGTTTAGCTTCAACAAAGCCCGAGGTGAAGCTAGGTTTTGCTCCAACATAACCCGAGGCGACATGGAAGCTAGGCTTCGCAGTTTCAACAAAACCAGAGTTATAGCTTGTGGGCTTCGCCTCAACATAGCCTGAATCAAAGCGTTTTGCATCAACAAGGCCTGACTCAAAGCTAGGCTTCACCTCCCCTAACTCATTCCCCACCGTCGCCGCTGCCGCCGCCGCCGTCTGCTGCGCAAATTCGTAATCATAGCACATATCCTTCATCGGCGGCGGCTCGCTAATAGGCACCCACTCCTCAAACGTGCCCACTCCTCCTTCACTCTCCGGCTTCCACACATGGAAAATGACCCTTCTATACCCCGTCCTCAACCCTTTGCCCTTACTCTTGCCCCTACCCATGTTCGAATTCGAGCCCGAGTTCGAGCCCGGGCTTTTACCATCCTGTTCTTGCTCTTCTTCTTCCTGCTCCACGGTATGATCGCCCGTAATCACACACTCCCTCAACCTCATCCTGTCGGGGGGCATCGGCGGATTCATTGTCCCCGTTATTAACCTCCCCACCAGCGAGTTGACGTCTGGCGCTATTAGACGAGTAACACTATTACTCAAACGCGAGGGTGACTGCATTCCCAAGCCCGAACCCTGCATAGTACCTGTACCCTTTGCCTGGGCCATGGATTGCAGCAAAGTCTCGCGGTCGGCGCCGTGCTCGATCTCGATCAGCCGCCAGCCGATGCAAAAGGTCAACGTCGAGTCCCACAGCCCCTGGTGCAGCGCGGAAAGCGTGGTCATGTGCTCGAGAGCCTTCACGCGCGTCTCGAGGTGTCGGCAGCGCATGACCACGAAGTAGAGCATGGGGAGGTATGCCATTTCGTAGACGAAGCGGGGCTTGTTTTGGTTGGTTGCTGCGAATGCTGGGCCACCACCACCACCACCATCCCCCTCTTCATTACCACTGGCATGTGCAGAAGCCGACCGCGGTGGTGATGGGCCCCGCGGTCGGCTCTTCTCGGCGGCTAGATACCGCCCGGCCATGTCGACGATTTCTCGGAACAAGGGGACGAATCGGTCGTAGACCATCTCGGTCCTGTCCAGAGCCGTGGCGATCCAGATCTTGGTGATGTAGCTCTTCATGCGCATCTGGTAGAATAAGCCGGCCGCGTCCTCGGTCGGCGAGTGTACGGCGCTGAAAATGGTGAAGCGCACCAGCCAGTCGTCGATGGATTTGGTCAGGTTGGCCTGCTCGGTTAGAATCTGGGAGGGAACGGGCTCGTGTCGCGAGGGTCCGATGCGGTATAGGTCGGCGGAGCGGAGGAAGCGCATGGCTCGCGCGACGAGGAGGTCGAGGCCGGAGCGGAGCTCGTCGAGAACGGTTAGGGCGCTGTCGGATGCTAGAGTGGCGGTTCCTGCGCCGCCGTGGGTACCGTCCGAGCTGTCCGGCGCCTCGGACCCGTGCCGGAGAAGGTTGGGGAACACGTCAACTGTGCTGCCGTAGAAAAAGGGGAATATGCTCAGACGGGCGAAAGGGTTTAGAAGCTGGTCCCGGGACAGGATGGAGCTTGACGAGTTTACTTTGCTCTTGCCTCCGTTGAGCTGGTTAAGGATCTGGACGCCATGATGGCAGTGGGAGATGGCTGCCTCTCGGTTGCCCTGGAGGATTTCTATACAGACGAACAGGATACAAACAAAGATGACCATGGCCTCATCGTCGGTCTTGGATATATCCTGAAGGGCGCGGTTATAGTGGCCGATGGCATACCGGCCCTTGGGGAACTTGACGAGGGATTGCCCCTTGACGCTGGGGTCGCCGATGAGCTCGCAGATGGAGCTGATGGCGACGACGGCATGACGGATGACGGGATTCTGGTAGCTGGCCCGGCTGACCACGTGGGTCCAGAAGTCGTCGACCAGCGAGCCGGAGAAGGTGGGTGCCAGCACGCACCGGTAGAACTCGAGGGCGCGGCCCTCCTGGGAGTTGTGGCGATGCGTCACGGCCGGGATGATGGGCCGTTTGGCCAAGAGCTCCTGCCATGATTGGGAATGCAACGGAGCAGCTGGGTAGCCATCACATCTGCGGCCCGTCTTGGTACACCGGAGGCATGCCGGCTTGGTCTCGTCACATTTTACTTTGCGGATCCTGTCATGACGGAGCAAGTGCAAGATGGCAGAGTGCTCTTGTTAGCCTATGGAACCTTCTTTGACTTTTTATTACGAGTAGTAGGTAGAGGTATATGAAAGTGGACTGAGGTGAGACTCGGAGTATCTTGGTGGGTGAGAGGGTTGCTGTGGGTAGAGAGGAAGGCTGGGCTGAGTAGTGACCCGAGCGGTATGGTTTCGGCGACTGTTACATTGGACCATCATGCCAACAGGATATGGGGCAGGTCCGAGCGAAGGCAGCCTCATCGTACGAGGTGGCACAAACTCAAGTAGGTAGATGATAGGCGCTTTCAAGGGAACCGAAGGGACATGACCGAGAGGGATGTGGACGCGGACGGATAAAGTAAAGATGGAGTAAACAGAATTTACGCACTTGCATGTATAACAACCCGTTCTGACCTTTTGTCTTCCTGCCCTGACCATGATTGCTGCTGAACAGTGAACGCCCAAAAAAAAAGTCCGCAGGGAGAAGGATCCCTAGAAGGTATACAGTGGTAGGTACGTATGCGTCTACCGCACCCAAGGCCCCAGATTTCCCAATTAGACGGATCGCCTATAATCTTTCGCTCGCGTTGGGAAGGGAACAAAGAAACAGCTTTGTCTGTAGGCAGGCCAAGTAGGTGTGTTGTTAGAAACACAGATGAAACGAATGTAGCGGAGAAGAGACGCGCGAAAGTCGGTACTCAGAAAAAAGCGAGAGGAAGCGTTGGCGAGACAATCAAGGGATGGCCGGGTCGAAAAACAGAGAGACAACTCTAGCTATCGGTCCAAGGAGCAGAGCAGCCCACGGCGGAGGTACGAATAGATGGAAGCACGGAGAACCTATCGACACCGTACTTGCCTGCTATGGCTAGGCCAGTTTTCGTAGTCCCGGAAGTGAAGCAACATCGACTTCCAAAAACAGGCGCCGTCATTTATCGGATCTGCTCCTCATAAAAGCACCGAGCGATAGGTAGTCCATTGTTTTTCCCACTTCCAACAGCGTGGATTGGGTGTGACGGAGAAGACAAACAGTCCGGTCGTAATGATTGGTGGGAGAGGACGAAAACAGGACAAGAGCCCAGTCCTTTCCGATCCTTCAGCCCTATTATACTCGCCGCTAACCGCCAATAAATGTCCAGCTAGGTGGGTCAGCTGCGTACATCAATACCAGAAACCGACAAGAGCCACAGCATCGAGCAAGCATATCTCACACTGTATCTGCGGCGGTCAATCACATGAGTGGCTGCAAGAGGAAGCTGAAGAGAGAATTACTCACCGCTTAAACAGGTTCGACAATATTGTTCGAAAAAGCAGCATAGAATTGTAGACTAACATCCAACGGCGTAATATCGGAAACCAAAGGCTGTTGGTTACATAGGCAGCTTGGGAGAAAACGTACCCGAGCGGTCCGGTCCCCATCCAGGGGGTTGTGTCCTAACGAGTATATTTATTTCCGGTTTGAGACGCCCCCTTTCTTCGTTCGGAATGTGGGAGGTACAAATGATTGCTCGCCAAGAGTGTAACCAAACCCCATCAAATAATACCGCGACTTTCCGGAATTCTTCAAATCCGTGACAGTTGATTCAACACACACACAACGTATCAATATGTATAGGTATCCCGTTTAAAAAGCCAGAGCATCCTATCCCATGGTATCCGTAACTCACCCCAACCAAACGCTTTCCCATATCCTATTACTCCACGCACGTACAACTCCAGTTACGAAAAACAAAACAAAAAACACAAGAAAAATGGACAATGTCACTCACTGCCCATTCATATGACCACCCACCCTCACATCATTTGAATCTCCCCCGCCAAGACAGGTGTCTGCGCTCTCGATTGATTATGCCCCTGTTGTCCCTGCCCCTGGCCTTGCGATCCGTGGCCCTGACCATGAGTTTGCGAACTCGAACCCGATCCTGCACTTGAACCTGACTGTGGCTGCTGCTGCCCCTGGTGGTTATGGCTATGATGACCCAATGGCAAAAACGCATTTGGCACCTTGGGCACCTGCGGCGACAACGGCCCCGTAGCCGCCGCCACCGCCGCCAACCTCTCCTCCCTTGACCGACTGCTTCCGCCGCCCGTTAGTCGGCGCATGCGGGAGCGGGTGCTTTGCGCAAATGGACGGATCATGTTTTCGAGCTTAGAGGAGCCGTCTGTTGCTGATGCCGATACTGATGAGGTTAAGGATGGTGATGTTAATGTTGGGTGAAGTGGGACGGCAGGGCCAGGTCCGTGGCCGACGCTCACGCTGGGACTAGCGCTGTGAGAGCCGCTTACTCCGCCGCCGCCGCCGCCGCCGCCGCCGCTATAGTAGGTACCGTGTGCCGCTCCGCTTCCACTGGTAGATGATGAGATGTGGTAGTTCGGGTGGTGGAATTGCGGGACGCCAGAGACAGTCCCTGTGCTGGTAGCAGTCGAAGGCCTCTGAGGGTACTGGTACTGGTCTTCGTCGTTATCAGAAAAAACGCCAATGTCCTCCGGGTATTCGGCCATGCCGCCGCCGTCGTCGTCAGAGGTGAAGTCGCCAATGTTGGCCAGGTACGAGGCAGGCGCCGAGGGGGAGGTGATGGATCTAGCATGCAATCCCGGTCGGATGTTGGTCATCAGGAACGGTCGGAGTTGTGAGGTGGATGTGGAGGTGGAAGTGATTGAGGCCGTCGGCGAGGTAATAACTATGCCACCGGGTCCTCCACCGGTGTCTCCTCCGCCGACAATGCTGCTGATGCTGCCAAATGTGGCGGGGTGCATCATGGAGGGACTTATGGGCGAGGAAGTGGTGGATCCCGCGACTACAGCTGGTCCGGGTCCGCCTCCGGAGAATAAGCTCGGTCTATCAGCGAAACCGCTCTGGAATGCCGCGGTGATGTTGTTATTGTTGTTGTTTGCCGACGCTTGATGCAGGATGGGTAAGATCTGCTCGTCATACAGCTGTGCACCCGAGTCGAAGCTATCCGGAGAGAACTCTGTGATAGTCCTGGATGATCGTCCCTCGCTAGGCGGACCAGTCGACGACAAGTCGTCGAAGAAGTCATCAAGACTGTCCAGCTTGGATATGAGATCACCCATGGGCGCGTGCTCAAGCCCACGTGCGTCGTCCGACATCATGGTATCAGCCCTGTCGGAAACATGGAGATATCCGTAGGCATATTCATCGTGGAACTCGAACTCGAATTCTATCTCGGCCGGCGTAGGGATATCGCTCTCCGGCATACCGCCCTCCATGTTTTGGGAATTCATCTGGCACATGTAGAAGACAGCGTGGGTGTTGGCGCGCGTTGACTCAGTCTTGCGTGCCGGCATGGGAATAGCCCAGCCAGATGCCTCCGGAATGCCAAATAGACTCTGTGCCCGCTCGTACTCTTTGCGGACGGCTTTGGAGGTGAGCCGTGTCATGCTCATTCGAAGATGGTGCTTGTCCATGGATGAGCCAGACATGCTCATGATGTTGTCGAGCACTTCGAGAGCCTCCATACAGTACTCGGTTTGGAGCAGGCGCAGTAGCGGCGAGATCATGTCGGACCCGTGGCTGGCAATCTCTGGCTTCTTCATGTCCACCTCAGTGACGATGACCCGGAGGATGCGCATGGTGTGAATCTTAACCCAAGCGGTGGCATTGGTCAGCAACCCCATCAGCATTGTGAGCATCTGTAATTCCAGATCAGGTAGGTAATACTCCCGTAGGGCCGCGTAGAGCTGGACCACGAAGTCCTTGGCAGACGCGTAACGGTGCCCAAGATAGTCATCCAAAACGACAGCAATGCTTCGCAACCCTTGAATATCAGCAATGTGCAACAGTGTCTCGACGGTCGGTGCAACAGCCGGATCAGGTGACTCCTCCTCCATAGCGTGTAGGAGGCGAGGAAAGTTTGCCAGAATGGTAAAGAAGAAGCGGCCACCGTCTCCTATCAGCGGATCGCTAGGCAGTAGAATGAGCTTATCGAGTGTTGTCAAGGTCAGGTCCAGACAGGTGGAAGACCGTAGGCCTTTATATAGAAGGGGTTGTAGCCCTTCAAACGAGCCGTCCCACTTAGAGGGCTGGCCATCGAGCAACATCCTTCGAACGGTCGGCGAATGGAAATCCAGCTTGTCCAGGAACTCGTTAAGCATTTCGACCGCCTCCAGAAACTCGCACTCGTTGATGGACTCCAAGCATGCGCAAGTTGTCCAGAAGAGCTGCGGGAAAGTGAGTAGCTTGTCGGCGTCTAGTTTCGCCACGAGAGTTTTCAGAGTCGTCAGCACCTCCATGGAAAATTTCTGGAGTTCGGTATCCTCGTCTGAGATAGTACTACAGAGCCTGGCAATCATGTCGCCTAACATGTCGTGATCGAGAGACGTCAATATGCATCTGAAGATCTGGAACGACCGACAGGCAAGGTGCCTGACTGGACAAGATGTTGCCCAAGTCAATGACAGCCTGCCCCACTTCTCTTTGATACCAGGGAATGTGATCTCGAAGGTCTTGACCACCTCGGCAGTAAGATATTCCATGCTCGGGGGTACCTTGTTGTCGTGGGCGCCAACATTGCCATTGCTATCTTCGTAGCCCCACACCACAGACCGGTCATGACGGCGAATGGCATCGATCAGACTCTCGATGGATTCTCTTGTAGACTGTGGAGCGTCATCATCGAGTCTCGAAATGACCAGTTCATGGATAAGGTGCACAAGCATCTCACGAGCTTGCTCTTGGACAAGCGCTGTGTAGTGATCCCAGAGAACCGTGACCACCTGAAGCAACACAGGTACGTTATCAGGCACAATACAAACTGGAGCCACCATGAGATCCACTAGCAGTATCAGGGAAAGTTGTCCCAGAGAGAAGCCAGCTTGTTTCGTCCCTATAGGGAGAACCTCTGAGAGATCTGCACAATAAGGCAAGGTGTTGATATCCGGTGGCGGCGGCACGGCTTCCCGCTTGTCGTTTGTAACCATGGACTTGGGCGTGATTTGCATCAGCAGGAACTCGATCACCTTGTTTCCAGGGGCGCTGCTTGTGCTAGCGAGGAAGACGACGATCTGCTTGGCATACTCGACAAAGTTTTGTTCCCGTCGTTCCAGACAAAGGGACATGATGAAGTCGAGAATCAGCCGAACATTGCCCGGGTGAGGGCCTGTCGCCAGGGCCTGCCAGAGTGCCTGGACCTCGTTGTGTAGGGCCGCGCTCGACTTGATGGTGATTTCCAGGAGGTTGGCGAGAAGCACGTATGATTCCGCGGTTGGTCCGCCGTTGGGGTCGACGGTCAGCTCTATTGACTGGATCCAGGGAAGGATGATGGCAACCACATTCCTCTGGGCCACTGACCCTACCTCCTTAAAGTAGTAAGTAAACTCGGAAAAGATGTAAAATGCCAACTCGGTGTGCTGTTTCGCCAGTCGCTTGGATATTTCGAACTGAGCAAGTTTGTAGACGGCCTTGGTCTTGTCGGATATGCTGATATCGAAGTCTTGTATCTTGGAGTTCCGCGCCGGTTGTTGCCGCTCTTCGACAGTGCGCAGGACTTGTGCCGACTTGGATCGTATATCACTTTGATCGTTACCCAAGGTGAATAAGCAGAGACCGAGGAGCTTCCAGAATGAACAGGGATAGTTGACGTGCTCCGAAAGCACTTCTACCACAACCGTAAAGTAACTGGCCAACACCTTGGGAGCCTCAGTCGTGTAGCACTTCAGGATGCAATGATCCAACAGAGCGGGGTATTGCTGGTTGTGGACGATTAGGTTCTTTAGAGCTCGTCGTCCTATGAGGTTGATGCGGTTGCTCTCCGCATTGAATATCGCATCAATCCAGTTTAGCATACGGCGCGCGTCGAAGTAGAGGAACGAGCCACTCTCGGTAAGCACACGGACTGGACCTCCGCAGAGCGATGCCATGGCACTAAGAGCAGCTGTTCGCAGATTTCTTTTCTCGATCTCCATAGCGGCGCTCACCTTACCACGCTCGCCTGCACCCTGCTCATTGATGAGAGATTGTCTCATGGTAGCCTCCCTTTGCGAGATTTGCTCTTGGTTGGGCGAGAAACCACACCAGTCTTCCATGAGTGTGAAGGCTGACTTGCGGGACTCGAACGTCATCCAGCGCGACGGGTCTTTCGTCCGATTGATGCCTTCGAAAAGCTCCTCCATGAGACCACAGTAATGCCGCCTTAGCCTCTGGAACTCCCAATCCATCTGGACTTCGACGTCCATGAGGAATAGCTTGAGGTCTTTGGCATAGGTAACAAGGTTGTTGAGAATCCACTCATCGTTATACACCTCTGGCAGTTTCAAGAAATGGGCCGTCAGCTTGTACACGTGGGTGATTTCAGTTCGCACCAGATCCATCTTCCGGTTACGCCTTGGGTTGCTGTTGGTGCGCTGGTGTGGTTGGATTCGCGCCCGAGCTTCGTCGTTACATCGGGATACATGCCCCGATAGTTCCTCAAGGAGGGTGCGGTAGATGTGAATGTTGATCGAGCCCATTGCAGTAACCGCAGCATCTCTGACGGAACCGAGTGATGCCCCGAGTAAGGGATTTAGATACTTGAACAAGGTCCGCGCTGTCACAATCTTGTCAACGGTTGAAGAGGCTTTGGAGCCCTTTCGGCCGTGTTGACCATTTTGTGTCGAGGCCGACTGAGCACTGCCTGGGTCTGCAAGAGTTGTGCAGGCAAAGACGAGATACAGCTTGAACTGCTCAACAAGCACCTCAGGTTGCGTGGTCGGGGTTCTGGCCATCCGAGAGTTGCTTCCATCGGATCCGTAGTACATCCTTCCGGATGGCTCGGAAATAACGACTATGGCCTGATAGAGTTGTAGAATCCTGTTGCACACAAGGTCGCGGCCGATTGTGACTGTGAATGGGCACTTGTCATAAGCGATCCGAACGAAGTTGGGAAAGATTTTGAACCAAAGTGTGGTATCATAGGACACATCACTGGTACAGAGCTCAAGCAAGGCTCCTTGACTGTTTGAGTTCTGCATGCCTCGCTCCAGTCTGCTACGTTCAGCTACCGAGAGGTGGTCATCTTTGAAACTCATGACCTGCATGGAATCGTTCTCCAGAATATCAATGAGTCTCGTGGTCTTTTCCTCTTCGTGGTTACTGGTCTTCCTCAAAGCTGCGTCGAATTCGGTGATCAGGCGAAGAACTGTGACTGCGTAATACCGCACGCGCCGTGACTGCGAACAGAGAAAGAATAAACCATGTGCTTCTACTTGGTCGACCTCAGCCCAGATGCCGGAGAGGTCGAGTTTGATGCCTCGCTTGTCAGTGCCACCAGGCTCGTCGCTTTCTGCCTCGGCTTCTTTTGTCTTTTGCCTGATCTCATCGATCCAGATGTGAAGAAGCTCGACGTAGAGCATGAGTGTCTTTTCGATGTGTCCTGGGCCCAACATCCCACCATCGGACATGGTAGAGTATCGGTCGTCGAAGTTGAAGATAAACCGGGCAAAGCCCATGGTAACTTGCTGGGCATGAGACTGCCGAGCAATGGCCTTGAGTGACTGCGCAGATGAACGCGCAATGTTTGACTGAACATGAGCGGTTCCCGTACACAGAAGGTTGATTAGCGTATTGAATGGGATGTCAGCCGACAAACATCGTGGTAAAGCCTCGACCGCGACATGAAATAGCTCGTAGAAGGCCTGTTTCTGCTCGTACGCGCTTTGTTGATCATCTCGGCGCGAGAATTTGAAAGTATCTGTCATGGGCGTCTTGGGGCCAGGACTGTTGAACTTTTCATCCTTGAACTTTTCATCCAACACAGCTTGTCCACCAAATGTGTTATCGCAGATGATGGCGATCTTCCCGAGTATTTCGCAAAATCGGCTGTAGTAGTCTTTGACCGTGTCAGATAGAACTGATATTTGTACCGGTTTTGAGAGCCTCGCTTCATCGACCCCCTGGGCCGGAGTGGCGGCCAGGCTGCTGTGCGGAGATGCAAGCACGGAAAAGATGGAAACTCGATCCATGAGGGATGCGGAATAGGTATAATCCAGAGGAAATGGCGGCTTCCCTTGCTCTCCCTTCTCCAAGTCCGCCATCACCGCGAGAAAAGCGTGTATGCCAACCACCATCCTATCGGGGTCAAGAAACTCGATCTTGAGGTCCTTGTTGGATGCGAACTGGTCGGCGTTCACCAAGGGAAATATGATGTTGCGAAAACAGTATTCAGGGTACATGTACCCTATAAACCTGATGATCTGGACCAGTGGCTCAGTAACAGCGAGGTCTGCAGCGCTAAATGCTCGCTTGGTATTGGGAAGGGCGATTTTCACGACTTCATCGAGCTTCCTCGTAGAGTTCGCGACGCTATCGTTCGTGCGGTAAAGGTAGGTCCACAAGAGCCTGGATATGGCCTGCAGACACAGCGGTCTTGTCATGCGGTCCTGAAGCTTGCTGTTAAGCGGGTAGATCAACTGCATCCACTGGCTACCAAAGTTTTCGGGCACGTCGGCGCAAAGCATCGTTGCTGTGAGGGCAAACGAATAGGTCCAATGCCGCGGCCTCATAAACATGTGGGCCAGCTTGGGAGTGATGGTTGTGACCACTTCTTTCCACCTCGGATAGGCAAGGTCACTGCTGCTGGCTGTGGCGGCAATGGGAAGCACAAGCATTTCAAGCACTTGGCAAAAGGCTGCCTTTACCTTTTGGCCATGGGACACATTGAAGAGCTTGCCAAGGGAGATGAGGAAGTTACAAGAGCGCTCCCAGGCATCTGGAGGTGAGAGCCTGATCCGAAGGTGCTTCATTCCAATGAGAATCAGCTCTATCCTGCTTTCGACATCTCGCCCACCGGTGGGGATCTTGGTGCCTAGCTCTTGCATGGAGCGCTCCAGGTCGTTGATAAACCGGTCGGCCACACTCGTGAAGCTGATTTCGCTCATCGCACCCAACAGTTGAGCAAAGAGATTCCAATTTGCAAGTTTCAGCGGTGAGATTAACAACGAGTCAGGCTCGGTACTTTTGAGCTGCTGGAAAATAATCTTCTCAAGCTTGTCCTCCATCTCCGGCGTGATAGAAGCGAGTGTGCTCTGAGTAAAGACCTCGAGGAGAACACGGCAAAGGATATAAATGGAAACAGTTGACCGGCGCTCAGCCACAGCGACGGTTTGCGCAATATCGGCTTGTCCGGCATGCTGGACCTCGGGCTGGCCAGTACTGCCAGGGCCAGTGGCCTGAACGGGCTCGGTGTTCCTCCTTTGTAAAGCACCGCCGGGCAGATGACTCCGCGCATTGTGAAGTTGCGCGCGGGCATCGCGGGCCTCATTGGCAGCGTCACTTTTGCTCTTCCTCCATAGCATCATCGAGTCTATCCAAAAGCCTTGGCTTTGCCTTGGCAATATGACCAAGCGCGACAATGGACTGGTCGAAGGCAGCGTCTATACCAGGCCCACATATTTGTTCGACATGTGGTTCCGGCTCGTGGAGTGGAATGCTTGTGATCTCGGTCAACTTCTCTTCCGCTTGGGCAATGAAGGACGTAAAGAGCACATGCAGCGCGTAATCACCGACCGTCTTCGGGTCATCCTTGTGCCGAGACGAATGGGAATGGTGATGGGGGTGGTCCCGTCGAGACCTCCCGCTGGCCATCCTTTCCGGCTTTCTGTGCGTTCCCGCTTGTCCTCCAACGGGATCATTCATAGCAGCAGCAGACGAAGTTCGTTCGGGGATCACGGGCACGGATGCCGCCGTTGTTCCGGAAAGGGCCGTCTGAGGCCTTGAGCCTATGGAAGAGCCGTCGTTGTCCTTGCGCGAGAAGCCATGTAGATCCGCTCGATCGGGGGGAATGCCTGCGCCGGCGGCGGCAATCATTTGGGGACTGAGAGGGCTCGAGTGGTTGCTCGCAAGACTCCCATTTCTCGAATGCTGGATGCCAATGCCGTGGACAATGGACGTCTGTCTGTGATGGCCGTACGAGGAGGGCTTGGAGTCGACTAGGCGCTGGGGCGCATGGGCGCGAACAGTACTGCTAGCAGACCACTGTAGTTTTTCGAGAGACGATTCGCGGGAATGGGCAACGCTTCGGCTGTCGGGGGCAACCGGCCTCAGTGTTCTCTGCCAGTCGGTGTTCTCATCCTCCTCTTCAAGCCGGGCAATGGTTCGGGGAGAAAAGTTCAAGGGCTCGTGGTCCGAAGGCAGCATCTGAGACGGAGCTGTGACGCAACTGCGAGTCAGCAATCAAAACTAGACCACAATCCCAATTCTTGTACGGTTTCAAATTTTCCGCGACAATTCCTCTTGTTGCGCGCGCAAAAGTTCTGAGAACCCTTCCGGTCTGGTTTCAGTGTCGCCCAGAACCACTACTCGTAATGGGATAGGAAGTGGAAGTTCCTACCCCGTCATCCACCTCTCGGTGTCGCTTTCGAGCCATTGTTTGAGCAGAAAGGTCTGTTCTGCATAAGAAGGAAGGATATAAGAGGAGAGGAGACAAGTAGGTAGGTAGTCGAATAACGCCATCACAGGACTCACCCATTTTGCCAATGTCTCGCCTCTCATGATACTCCTTCAGCGCATTCAGGGCGGGGTCCAATCCGCGCGCGTTGCCTTGCAGACCGGCAGCGGCAGTTGATTTTCTTTTCGGCAAAGTCTGTATATGCACTGATTATTCGGAGAAAGTTGGACAGAAAAAAAGATGGCGTCGCGACTGGCCGGCGCGAAGGTGACGGAAGCAAGCAAGAACCCTCACAGTCTGGAAGTTCTCAGCCTCTGGTTGTCTGATGTCCGCGGCTAGATTCAGGCTAGTCCTATCCAGGACGGGATTCTAGGTTGCCTGTGGCAGCAGCAAAGTGGAAGCCCTCTGGCCCTCTTGCGCGCAGCGCGTTCGCTCCCTGGGGCTGGTTCCCCCGCCGTCCCATCTCCTGGTTGCCCTGCGACGAACCGGAGTCCTGCCAATCAAGCTGTGCACATATCAGATGAATGTATGAACTGAGCCTCATTCTGCCCCGTGAGCCCCTCTCACTTTGTGATTGATAACTGAACGGGCAACCCTGCAATGGCCTGAGGCCAAATGGAAGGACAAAGTGCACGCCGCATCATCAGGGTTCTCAAGGGTTCTGTCAACTTTGCTGTAGAGGCTGTTTTGTACCAATGATACGGCCCCAAAACGCCTGACAGCCAGCCAAGTCGTGTCACCCGGGTGGGCCAGGCAGCCTCCAAGCGGACCCGAACAAAAAGGCAATCTACAGGGCTGCAAGGGCCCCAAGAGAACACTCATCCCAGTCTATCAAGAATTAACTCACGTTCTTTGAGTAGACCGCTGAGTTGGAGGATGTCCAATACTATTCCTAAATCTCAAACCTGATGTAATGAGGGCTGGGGGGATTAGCTTGACATCGATGGCCGCCAGAAAGAGGACTGAACGTGAAGAGCCTCAACTTGTACGAGGGATGTGGGGGCGGCTCCGAATACTTGTTACAATACCTGGGGTGTAACGCCGTGTATAAGTATTCAGTCCTGGCTTCAACAGCCGAGCGATGTTCAACCCCAGACTGGCCCGTCACAAGCAGGTCGCCAATATGGGGCCCCCGGAGTTTGCTCCATCTTACATGGAGCTCTCCGCAAACGTCATGTCGATATGTTTGTGGTTGGCTAGTTGCCCCTCTGATACTGCCTGTCGCTGTGCGTTCTCGAGCTGATCGAACGAACTTATACCGGTATGTATCTAAGGACACGGACTCAACTGGTGTCGTTTGTGACCCGGACGAGCCTCCAACATTATATGTAGAGACCACAGGTCCCGCGAGGTGCCAGTTTGCGATGGCGGCGCGCTCGTTTGTGTTTGTAACGAGTGACTAGAGACTGAGACTGTTGAGACGTCAGAGGCGAGATCTCGTCCGTATCCGTTGAGAATTGCCGACAAGAGCTTCGGAGCGCGAGAGTTTCGACCAGTATCGAAGTCCGCAAATCACTCCGGCAAACCAACCGGCTGAATATTCTCCAGCCTCCCCCCGGCTCCCCAACTTCAAGCCAAATCTCCCCCGCAGCACTTGTGTTGATCAGAGGACGCTCGGGCCATATCTCCTTGTTGGGGAGTTGGGGTTGGGGTCAAGGGTCTTTTGTTACCCCTTTTTAAAAGTCGAGAAGGGATGAACACCAAGCCTGTGGAAAGGACCATCATGAGAGAGTGGCTTTTTTGCAGATGAATTCTGCGGGCCCGACAGAGGTTTCTGCAACTGTGAGCTGTTTATGCGTATAATTGGCATGCACTCAAGTGCAAGTCGCCCAAAATGCACCTCTACTTAGAGGCAGGATCACTGCAAAACGTGGGGTGCAAGTGCCGGGACCTTGGGACGGGAGTGTTGATCAGTTGAGTTGACTTAGTTTGGTGACAATCCGAAGAGATTTTGAAGTTGGAGTCGTACCTATATGAAATCATATCATGATTTCCAGATTGGAGACCGTGAGAACCCTAAAAGTATAAGCAGCAACAGACAGATGCCTACCTATCAAGCCCGTGTCAGCGCCGGAGAGCTACGCTTCCTCCCGCGCGCGGCGGCCGCGGGTGTCAAGCGGACGTAACCCCGCTGCAGGGCCGAGATGTCAACCCATGTACCACTTTCACACCATACGAGGCACAAGAGAGAAAGCGTGGGCGAATGAGATTCGCTGTCTTCAGCGCAAAGGTAATTGCCGGTCACTTCCGAACCTCCATGGCAGTGAGGAGATGCAGGAGCCGATGTCATTCTTTGGAATTCTGTCCGTATCAGGCCGGGTACAGTCACAGGAGGTCGACAACCAGAGGATGTAATATTTGGCGGCCATCAGCTTTGCGAACGGTCTTGGTCGAATCCTCAAACGCTCACCCCGCAAAGAGTCCGGGGCCCGAATCGCTAGAAAGATGTGCATGACATCTTCCACGTTCCACTGATCTCGTGCTTCTCCCCGGCCTCGTGCTCGACTACCGATCAAGGCTTGGACGCCGAATCGGCTGAATGTTGAAGAGCCGGCGCGGCAAACCACTTCCCGGAGAGTCCAAGGAGTCGGGAGCGGAACGGGGGTGGATAGGATCGGTTGAAGAGAAACAAACTTGTTCAGAGACAGAGACTGTGTTTTCAGTGCAAAAAGTGCACCTTTGCATCGTGTGAACCCCGTTCCGCCAGGTGTTCATGCAGACCCCATGTGGGGTACGATGGGGAACTCGCCCATTGCCCGCTTACCTAAACCGAAGTTCGGGAGGGTTTCACGGGAAAGAGATGCTCTCAACAACAGCGCTCCTCTTTTCTTACTCAGCAGGCCCAACACAAACTGGATCCGACGAATACTATCCCGGTGCTGACATTGTTCGAGCCCGTTATTGATGTCATATTGAAGGCGAGAGAGTGTTCTGGGTTCCGTGGAATGCTGCGGCTGTCGAACACACCCCGGCTGTTCATGTGTAAGCTGCCCAAGCTGAGGTGAGAAAGGGTTCTGGTTACCTCTGTATTTACTCATGATTGGCCTCGCTGATACTTCAACTCCTGTAAAAGATAAAAGGAATCGAACCACGGGTAACTTCTCAAGGACTGGGAACGTTTGTTTAGTTTCGTGAGCATGGAAGTCATGTGAAAGCATCGTAGCTTGAGATCCACTGTCGCTCTGAGAAAGGACACCTCAGGGCCCGGGCCGCCTGGGGCTGTAACTGTATTGGTGTCAGGGCGGCCGCCAGTGTCATTGGATTGTGGGGGGTGGTCGTTCTTTGAGGAGCGAGAATACGGTAGGCAGGTCCTTTAAGAGATAGCTGAAATATAAATGCTAACATCACCGAAATTGGACAGCGCAGTCGTTGGAGTATCAAATTTTGACATCAGAGAGTTGTCTTTCCCCCTGTTGCTCGGCAAACTGAAGGCTCCCGTTAGCACCTGGCCTGAATGTACTCGGAGGTGGGATGGAGTGCAAAAGTCAAAGTGGGGACCACGGGAGGGGCCCGGTCATCGGGAATTTAGCGCTGAAATGAATTGGATCCCCGTGGGCCCCGGTCGCCGCGTCCACGGCCATGTGTCAGTTTCCAGTTTATCTTCGGTCCCAGTCCTTCCTCTTTTAAGGGTGATAGACCGCTGCCATCTCATCTTTCATCCCCCTTTCCTGCCTTCCCTTAGACCACCAGCCGACATTCTTTCCTTTTGCTTGTGTCTCTGAGCTTCTGGTCCCGTCGCTCCTGCAATTTCCCTGCGTGGTTCGTCCCAGGTACGTACGTTTTCCCAACTGCCCAACAGCGAGAGTCCGTCAGCGAAGTAGGCGTGGCATGTCTGATCTTGCCATCTGGCCTGAGCTTCCAAGCATACGGCACGCCGGTCACAGACCACATGTAAACCCCTTGCACGAGTAACAACCGGTGTTGGCAACTGTGATCCGGTTCAAAGAGCCGTTTTCGTTGTTCACCGGGCTAACATTTCCCTCAGGCAGCTTCTTTTGGCTCCCCCTTCGGCCAGAAGCAGCCAAGCGAGCCAAGTGCGTTACCTCTAGACATCTCCATATCCGATAGCTGTTGTTGTAAGAGTATACCGGTCGTGCCAACTGCAACACCGCGCGCATACAATATCGCCGTCATGGCCGAACTCGACACGCTGGACCTCGTGGTCCTGGCGGCCATCCTTCTCGGAACGGTCGCCTACTTCACAAAGGGCACACTATGGGGCGTTACAAAGGATCCTTATGCCAGCTCCCTGGCCAACGCCAGCGGCGCAAAGGCTGGCAAGACAAGAAACATCGTGGAGAAGATGGAGGAGCAGGGCAAGAACTGCATCATCTTCTATGGCTCCCAAACCGGTACTGCTGAGGATTACGCTTCGAGACTCGCCAAGGAGGGCAAGAGCCGCTTCGGTCTTGAGACCATGGTTGCTGACCTTGAGGAATACGACTTTGACAACCTTGATACTATCCCCGACGATAAGGTGGTGTTCTTCGTGCTCGCCACCTATGGTGAGGGCGAGCCTACTGATAACGCCGTGGACTTCTACGAGTTCATCACCAACGAGGACGTCAACTTCACCGAGGGCAACGAACCTGCGCTTGGCAACCTGAACTATGTCACCTTCGGTCTCGGAAACAACACCTATGAGCATTACAACTCCATGGTTCGCAATGTGGACAAGGCGCTCCAGAAGCTGGGCGCCCACCGTATCGGTGATGCTGGCGAGGGTGATGATGGCGCTGGCACCATGGAG